GCGCCGGGGATCATCAGGGATCATACTAAAGCTGGAAAATGCGGTTCGCATAGCTTCTCGCTCCTGTTCAACATGTTCATAGTGAAGGGTAACAGGAGTACTTACGGATAGGTACACAACGTGAAATCCAGGTATCTGGAGTTTCGAAATATAAAGCTTTCTTTTAAGCTGCGATCCCCTCCCCAGCGTGGAGGTTAGTGCATGCGGCCCTAAGTGTGCCTGGCGCCCCTCCCCTCCCCACCCCCCCCCCCCCTCGTTCTCTCTTCAGTGCACCCTTACTACACACAGAAGTTCACCGTCGCTTTCAGATTGATGTTTTGTTATAGATGTGCCGTGATAGACATCCTGTTTGATTATTGTTGCTATCTACACCTCCTTTATGTCCTTTTGATTGCTACTTGCAATGCTGAGCCTTGATATGGTCCTACCTTCTCGTCGTATCATCAAGAGAACTCTATATACCCTAAAATCCGTAAAAAAATCCTATCAGATAAGTCCGCCCTATTAGATAAGTCCGCAGAAGAACTAACAGTCAAGTCCGCTTTCTTGACAACGAAAGTCGCCCACGCGCCGCCAAAAGTCCTGCAGATAAGTCCGCTTTCTCATGCTCAGGATAGGCGAACTTATCTGCTGCGGACTTATCTGATAGTGGATTTAGGAGGACTTATCTGGTAGACTTTTGGCGGCGCAGAGGGCGTTTTTTCATCGATTTTTCGCGTTGAAACTGCAGATAAGTCCGTACTTATTGTACGGATTTTAGGGTACAGGGTGTCTCAAAAAAATGTGCACACTGTTTAGTTGACTTTATCGTAATGAAGTGTTTCGAGAAGCTTTAGGCACCATTTTGTAGAGCGAGGTTCAACTTTGATTTACAGTGTAGCGCGAATCGCCGATCGCTCATTCTTACTGTAGGATTACAGTAGAAACTTTGAAAAGGGTTTTGAGACATGAAATGCCATATTTTGTTCCAAAAATGAATCAAAACAACCTGAAAATCACGCTGGGCCTAATTAGAGTTGCTGATTCTAAGTGAAGTTTGCAACTTTTCGTGATGCTCCATTAAATTATGCGAGGTAAGCAATAGCGGCCATTTTTTTCAATGTTCCTAAAAATTGCGGCTACACCGTTTAGAAAGCTTCGCAACTTGTAAAGAGTTGGTACTGAACTCAGCGTCCATGAAAACTTTATTACATAAGTTTCCACATTTTTTTTTTGAAAATTTCTGAAACGGCCGTTTTTTTCACAGTGACGCCATATGTTTGAAGTTTCTACCGTAGTCCTAAGAATGAGCGATCGGCGATTCGCGCTACACTGTAAATCTAAGTTGAACCTCGCTCTACAAAATGGTACCTAAAGCTTCTCGAAACACTTCATTACAAAAGAGTTATTTACAATCAAAGTGCACATTTTTTTGGGACACCCTGTATATCTCATGAACCCTGGCTCCACAACAGTCCAGAATTTTCACAGAAGGCCATTATATTTACCGAGCTTCAGGCCCAGCACTCCTGTTATATCTTGCTATCTTCTATTACGATTCTTCTCCGAGGCTAAGGGCCGCATGCACTAACATCCCCGCGGGAAGGGATCGCAGCTTAAAAGAAAGCTTTATATTTCGAAACTCCAGGTACCTGGATTTCACGTTGTGTACCTATCCGTAAGTATTCCCACTACCCTTCACTATGAACATGTTGAAGAGGAGCGAGAAGCTGTACGAACCGCATTTTCCAGCTTTTGTGTGATCCCTGATAATCCCCGGCGCTTTTCTTTGAAGTCGTTTTTCTTTCTCCAAAGTTACCGAAAAACCTCCAAAGTTGTGCAGATTATCTAACCCGACAGTGCTAAGCATGTTGCTGATAAGAACAAATGATGTTTTGAATTCAAGAAATTTTCGATGATCCACAGGTCGAAATTTGAGGTTTACCGAAAAATTCGACTTTCCAAAAACTCATTTGTTCTCATCAGCAACATGCTTAGCACTGTTGTGTTAGATGTTCAGTACAACTTTGGAAAGTTTTCGTTAACTTCGGAGAAAGAAAAATGACTTTAAAGAAAAGCGCCGGGGATCATCAGGGATCATACAAAAGCTGGAAAATGCGGTTCGTACAGCTTCTCGCTCCTCTTCAACATGTTCATAGTGAAGGGTAGTAGGGATACTTACGGATAGGTACACAACGTGAAATCCAGGTATCTGGAGTTTTGAAATATAAAGCTTTTTTTTAAGCTGCGATCCCCTCCCCAGCGTGGAGGTTAGTGCATGCGGCCCTAAGTCAGCCAGCCTTCGCCCGTAGGCTTGCTGACACCCATAATGGTGTTATCAGGTATTTGATGTATTTCGTTTCATTTTTTACATGGGCGAGATCCCGTAGCAGCAGCAAGATAGCAAGATTTGGGAGTCTGTCTCTTAATCAGCATTGCCTTCTGCAACTTCCTGTTTCTTCGTAAATTGATACCTCTATATTCATGACTCCGGGACTTCGGGTTTTTTCTTCTGTTTTTCTCCCATTACCTCGCATTTATCTCATTGGACAAGGACTGGCTGTATAGTTGACTGCACGGAATCGGCCGGGCTGAGCGCCCGCGAGCGTGTCCCTTGCGCTCTGTCATTGGCATTCACGCGCATGAGTCATCAGAGCGTCCGTACAATGTTATTGGTGTTTTTGGTGCACCCTGGTTCTATTGTGAAATAAAAATAAAGAATAAAATAAAATAAGGTATTCAATAAATGGCGCTATTCCACTCAATACAACCCAAAAAGAAAATCACGAATTATGCTGAAAACACGCGCAGAGGGGTTATTCGAACTGCTGATTGCGAAAATGACGTCCATTTTCGCGGGTTGCTTTTTTCGAGGGGTTACGGTAGGCATACGGTATGGGGTCAAAATCTCAGGATTCGTTAAAACTTTGCTTAGAGCGGTTATTCGACATGCTGATCACGAATATCACACTTTTTCCGCACGAAAACCTCTCCCTGTACGGTTGCGGTAGGTGTATGGTAGGGGGTCAAAACCTAGATTTGGCTGGAATTTGGCCGAGAGGGGTTACTGAGCACGCTGAACATAAATATCATATTGATTTTATACTAGCACCATTTTCTCGAGTTACGGTAGGTACGCGGTACATGGGTGAAAATTTCAAATGCTCGAAGCGTTGCCTAGAGGGGCTCTCAAGCATGCTGATAACGAATCAGGCTTGCTCGCCATAACAACGCTCTCTTGTGGAGTTATGGCAGTTTTCAGCGCTTGTGGAAGCATCTTCCCAGCTTTTCAAACCAATTAAGATCCCAAAAATTCACGAGGCCTTATAAGCGAAATGAGCACGGTATCCATGATAAACACATCAGATAAAACCCTGCACAAAGTGTCAGTCAGATCTACGGTTTTGACCCCTTACCATGTAACGGTTTTGACCTCTTACCATATACCTCCCGTAACCGTACAAGGAGAGGTTTTCGTGCGGGAAAAGTGTGGTACTTACGTTCACCATGTCGAATAACCCCCTACGCGTTTTAGCGAATTCTGAGATTTTGACTCTATAGTATGCCTATCGTGACCCCTCAAAGAAAGCCTCACTATGCAAAATAGATACCATTTTCGTGATTAGGAGGTCGAGTAACCCCCTTGGGAGTGTTATCAGCGAAATCCGTAATTTTCAATTTTTGGGTTGTATTAAGTGGAATAGTCCAATGAATGTCTGGAACAGTGTCATCAGAACAGAGGCTAAGGTTCTTTAGCAATCCTACATGTTTATCAATGGAGTTACGAGTAACATCCCGTCATGATGCTTGAAATAAGCTATTGATATCAAATAGTTTAACATGATGGCATAATGGGAGTGAGCTTCATCCAGCGGACGGATTATAACGAACATCTGATTATGCTTGATATTGGAAACTGGACTAGTATAAAACCGCCCAGAACAGCTATCGCTATTAGCAGTTTTCTCTCTTTTTCACTTCTACAAATCGTTGCATCGTTTTCGTTCACCTCTGTAGACACTCCAACAGTTACATCGCGATTTTTGGCGAGATGAAGACGCTGACGTTTCAACTGCCCTTTGTCACCTTGTGCACGGCTCTCGGCTCATCCGGGAGCCCGAAAAGTAGGTGCCAAACGGTTTTCCAATAGCTCACTATACAAACACACAGTACAAGTTACACAAGGTTTTCTGAGTTTGAAAAAAAAACCTTTGTGTACCTTAGAGATCTATACAGAGTTGCAGCTAGGAAAAACACGAGATACAAAACGGTTGTTCTCGTTAAAAACATTGTCATACGGAGTTTCGAGACAAACGATTGCCTGTACACCTTGTAAATCCAAATTTTGGACAAGACTGCACATTTTGCATGAGGACGGGTAGAAACCCTCAGATATGTTCCTAAAAATAAATTAACGACCCTGCCCCAATGTTCTATCTCATGTAAGATGTCTCTTATGAATTCAAAACGACTCCGCCTATTGAGATAAAGCGGAAATATACCTTTATTTTATTACCCTCAAAGTGTATGCGTACGTAACAGCTGCAGGAATATGCGATATCCGCAAAGCTAAGACATTCATTGTTTGTCAGCTTTCCTCACGTTTTCTATCCACTCATGAGAGAATCCGTCTAAAAATATTTATGACATGTGACGTGACACATACCTATATAGTTTCATCAAAGAAAAGCCTGCTATTACATCACCGAGCTAACTCATGTTGCCAAAAGAGCAAAATTATTCTTAAATGCACTCCATCAACGTGTATATGGGCGCTCGCAGCAATTTGAGTTCACAAATGTTTTGATGCGAGTTTGACAGTGTATAGATATCAAAATGCATTTACGAGAGCATATAATCCTACAACTAAAAGCTCATCATCGATTATAATAGCATATTCCTGCTTTTCTACTTACATGCTATAAAGGCAAAGATACAAGAGAATTTTCAGTATGAAACTCATGATATAATCGTAAAATTGACTAGTAACTACCACTTCTACGTCTACCTCTGGACCACGGCTACTCGTTGTAGTCTTCCGTATCTTCCATAGCTTCAGTATGGTATATTGAAGTGTGTTTGGCTAATATACGAAGCAGTGGTCTTAGTTTCAACCACCACTGCTCACAAGGCAGACGCTTGTCGAAGTCTGTTTCTGCAGCGAGCTCTTCGACTGGAGTGAAGACCTGAAATGCAAAATATATTTTCTCTCAACGCATCTTCTACAGAACGGCATTCAAAGATATAGACTTACGACACGTCTTCCTGTTAAACCTAGCAATGTGGCAGTCTCCGGTGACTTCGTCATGACTACGCCGTTTACCAAGGAATCCTGATATACAAAGGTGGTCACAAAAATCCTAGGGATTGTTTTTTGGCAGCAATACCTTGATTTGTGTGATGATGTACTCTAAGGCCCTTGCAGCTAATTTCGTTCCCATGTTTCGATCAAAAGGTGTCGGACTACCACCCTGTTGAGCATGACCAAGGATGTTGATTCGCGTAGAGAACTGTAATACAGGAGTACAACCGCACTCAAAGGTCAAACAGCTCAAAGCAAGCAAAGGCAATCCCACAAGAATTTCTACTTAAAAAGCACGAATACAATATGCGTAACGGGATAGAATCAACCATTGCAAAAGTAAAAACGAACCCAAGCAAAGACAAACAGATGCTGCAACAGATATATGCCCCTTCTACTAATTCTTTGAAAAAGAATTACTAGAAGGGGCTATATAGTCAATTTCGTGAGTATCCGCACCTCTCCTTTTCCTTCCTCAGCGAAAAGTTGTTTGACGAACTCGGTGGTGAAGTTCTTATTGGCATATTCGTTCCTTACGATGAGGTACCTCTGAACTCCTTGCGCCATCTTCGCCGCGATAACCTTAACGTATCTGGCTAGATATCCTCTTCAAAGAAAAAACACAAGATTTTAGCTTAGATGAGCAACTGATTACCTCTACGTCTTCGATAATATCCTCGACAGTGAACTTTTCCTCAAAAATGTACGCGTTATCGGCACCAGAGGCCAACGCCGAAAGAGTGGCTAAGTAACCACAGTAGCCACCCATGGTCTCAATGATGAACACTCTAGAATTTTACACTTGCTACTGCAGTAATTCAAATTTCGATATACCTTCTCTTCGTTCCTGTCGCTGACTGCTTAATCTTATCAATCATGGTGCAAATCTCGTTCATAGCCGTATCGGAACCAAGTGATAGGGATGTACCTAAAATCGGAAGGTTGTTTTAATGTTAAGCAAATGTCTTAAAAGATCCACCTGGCACATTGTTGCTGATCGTGCATGGTATAACACACATTGGTATACAAAACTCAGGATATCTGTCACGATTTTTCGATAGAATAAGAGTGGAGTGGTAGGCCTAAATGAGGAATTCCTTTGAATGGAAAAAGAAAAGAAAGAATACGATCGTTCAAGCCAAGAACAACAAAATTTTTTGTTCGGACGTGCTTGATGTTTGTTGATGGGCAAGCAAACTTTTTCTAGTGGTTGGGTACGGTCAATTACTGGATTTCTCATCGCAAAATTAAACGGTTGATTAACGATGAGCAAATAAACAAGTCTTTGTAATATCGTATCATGCTGCCAGAAGCAGTAGAAAGTCAGTGGCGATTATGCTTCTTTCAGCATCCAAAACAAGAACTTTTTTCCAAATAGTGTCAAGTTCCACTTCAAAGTCTCATGTACCATATCTTATACTAAACACGTTTCGCCACTCGAGTATGCAGGACGAATTCGGACGCGCAACCTATTGTGAAAACGAATCGCAACCTATGCGCGGCAGCCTACTGTTGTAATTTTGCATCTTATGCGCCCTATGAGGCAGAACAGCTTTTGCGCCCCTCATCCTTCGTCCTCCTTCGCTCGAACAGTGAATACTAGTTGATATGCGCCAGGCATTCTAGAAATTTTTTAGTCTTTTGAAGATTGAGAAACCAATGTATAAATAAAGACGGCAAACGCGATTTCGAAATAAGCACCTGTCCTCTGTCAATACCTATTACTTTTTTTTTCCGCAAGAGCCAACTGTCGACGAACCAGTATCGGTCAGTCATATTCTAGAAAATTCTAACTGAAAGTAGTCCGACCAATCCTATTCGCATAAAAACGCAACAAATTTGCTCACAGGGCTCTATGCACGCAGCCAAACGTCGCAAGCCCTGAGCGCTAATTCGGACGGTATCATCTGGTGCTTAGAAAGACGTCAAGTATCCAAAACTAGCGTGCGGTAAGAAAAACGAGGTCTAAGTAGAGAACCAACAAATTTGACTGCGTAAACTACGTACCCAGCGCAAATCAAAGCCGCTTCAAGATAATCATTTGTGTGCCTCACACTCTCGCTGATAAATGCGAGCATCTCTCTTCGACCATAGCATCATGAAACTTTAGAGGAACCACGTCCGATACCATGCAGACAACCAGCAATCCCCTGATTTTTATAGCAGGGTTTCCAGGGTACTCTTAACTCCATGCGCAGCATGTCCCAACCATTATGGGTAAGCATATTCGGGAGAACTTATATGCTACCTGTTTAATTCCATACAACGAACACGATGTCAAGAAATCAAAAGATATGGAACATGGTTATTTAAAGAAGATAATCATTGTAATAGATAGGCCCGAACACTTTTGAATGAAATATGTAAAAAAAAGACAGGTAGCAATTTTTGTACTTACCTCAAACCCTCCTACAAGCAACAGCGCTTGGATATTATGCTTTCTCAGCTGTTCTGCAATATGTGGAACATTCTTTTCGTTGGGTAGTTGCTTCTGCGTCCCCAGGAACGAGCCACCATGCATTACCCAGTTTGTCACATCTCCCCACTGGAACTTCTGAAGCCAAGAACGCATGAGTTAACAGCAGCAGAGAGTTAGGTCCTCATGTACAAACCTTGAAGGCACCATTGGCCAGACCTTCGAAAGAATCTTCAATGCCGTAAACAGTGCAGTGATGGTACAATGCCATACGCACAAAAGATCGAACAGCGGCGTTCATTCCTAGAATTACCAGACGCATGAAATCTGATCTGTTTTCGCGTTCCCAATGCATCCTATGTCATTTCAAGTGTCTACAGCAACACATACAGCATCGGACAGTGTAAACGGTCTACTTACCTCCAGCGGGAGCTCCAACGTTCATTACAGCAACATTGAAATTTTGTCCACCAGAAAGATTGTCCTTCTCGACCGTACGAAGTTTCGTCAAAAGCTTGTACGTCTCCAAATTACGCTGGAAGCTGCGTCCGCGCAATTTGACGGCTAGTTCCCAATCTTTTTCGTTCATTGCTTTTTGCACCTGGAACAATCAATTTTCGAAAAAGTGAATCATTTCCGGTATATGGACCATGAAAAAATTATCAGTGATCTTATCAACAATGTTCTAACGAAATATGTAAATAAAAAAGTCATAAGATAACGTGTAGAAATTTGACTCACGGCTTGAGTTCGCTCCACACATTGCATGAGAGGCACACGCACCATTTGATTTCCATCGATGGAGATAACGCAAGGTTCAGATTCCTGCATAAGATTTTTTATTAAAAAAAGAAACAAAAGCAAATGTGGTGTGTTGTACAATAGCCAATCCAATGCAAACCTCATTCATTTCCATAAGAGCTAGCACGGCTTCTGCACCCATTCTACAGCCAAGTAGACGATCAAAGGCAGACGGAGCACCACCGCGTTGGACATGTCCCAACACAGTCACCTAAATCACATATTGGAGACAAACTAGGCTCAAACCGATAGCTGATATTTGCGGTCATAGAAATGCTGTCCCCGAAGCGGAACTAACCCTGGTATCATAGTGCAAGGTTTTTGCAATGACGTCTTTGACGAGATCAGCTGAAATCGCATTGCCATCACGATCAATCGCTCCTTCGGCAACAATGATGATGTTCAATCGTTGACCCTCAGCACGCATCTACAAAAAAAAAGAAGACGTTAAACCGCGCGACTACCTAACGCCATCAACTTTCAATAAGAGTATGGGATAATGCAATACCTCTTGCAGCTTCTTGCACAGAATCTCACGCCAGTTGACTGGAGGAGGCCACTCTGGGATGAAGCAAAAATCAGCCTCAGATGCTAAACCAGCAACCAGAGCAAGATAACCGCAATGACGACCCATAACCTGCAAAGCTGAACTGAAACCACCCAAACCTTGCTTTTGTCATCAAATTACCTCAACCACAAATGAACGCTGGTGACTCTGAGCAGTTGCACTCACGGCATCTATGGATTCGATGATACGCTGTAGCGCACTATCCGTTCCAATAGTCATATCAGTTCCTGAAGGCCCAAATGAGAAAATTCATGTTTGAACCAGCCTTCAACCTTTACATTATCACGTCAAAAGACTAACCACAAAAATCATTGTCAATGGATCCAACTAGACCAACAATCTGGATATTTGGATTTTTAGCAGCAGTTTCTTGACTAATCTGCAAATGAAAGACCTCATCATAGTAGACTTACACCGTTAAATTACCTTTCCCGTATCAACCAGCTCTTTGATCAGGCCTGGCCAGTCTTTACGGAACTGATTCGCACCAGTAAGCGTACCATCACCACCAATGCATACCAGATTCGTGATGCCTTTTTCAATCAGGTTATATGCAGCCTAAAATTTCATATAGAACAGATGCGTGAGACAATTTCAACAGCATATGATGTCTTCCGCAAAAAAAGTGTCCTCAAACAGATCTGTTATCGGATTATTTGGAGAATGATGCAATCTCGCTTAGAAAAACAAGTGACTTAAGCTGACAAATTCTACAGAAATCTCTGCCAAAAACCAGAAGAATGTTAGATAGCATATACAAGATTCATCCCTCAAACCACTCTCATTCCCAAAACTAAATTTATGGAAAAAAAGTGATATATCGCTAGTGTTCTTCTTAAACCATGATCGCATTCAGAACAGCTGTGTCTGGAAAACTTTTTTCCGCAAGATGAGAACTATTTCCCTTTTCAGTTTTTATTTGCATCATGACGCTCATCATTCGTCAAAGAACGTTCAACGCTGAGCGATCCACTATTAATCACATTGTGACGCGTTGCCGATACGACTATTAATGCACACTCCCTCGGCTCTATTTTTAGTAGCAAATCGATGTCTCCGAAATCCCGTAGATATCTATTTGTTTTTGGTGCACTGTATTCGACCTTGCAGTTGCGCTGACAAAACTCGGGAGACATTGAAGAAACACGTGCCATTTGAACGGGCGTAATCAATAGCGGCCGCATGGACGATGACTAGGCGCAGTTGTAAAAAAACGAAGATGGAATGGGCGGACAAGCTACAGCTGTTTCTAGGTTTTTCAAGCATTTGGTGACCAGGTCTCTCATGTTAGCAGAAATCGAAAACCAAGTTCAAACTGTTTCGTAAAAATGGGATAAAAAGCTGACGAAATTTTCAAAAGTTTGTTTAGAAAGTTCACCTTTAGACGTCCCTCTCGTTTGCGGAAGTCGGAACATCGGGCTGAGCCAATAATAGTTCCACCCTGCAATTGCGCGAACATGGTTGCGTTCATTTACGCAGCGGGAATCAGTCAACAACTGAATGCACCTTCTGTATAATATCAGATACGGAATTCCAGTTAGCTTCGACGATATTGTCTCCACCATCTACCATGCCCTGATAACCCTCATTGATGAAATACACTTTGCAGCCGAGATAGATACCCATACGGACGACTGATCGTACAGCACTGTTCATACCTCAAATAAGACATTCATAAAATTTATTTGAAAATCATGGAAAATATACCTTGGGAGTCGCCTCCAGATGTAAATACAGCAACACCGCGGCCTTTGTATAGATTAAACTGTATGGCAGATCCTTCCTTTCCTGCTGTTGGAACTATGGAGTCGAGCCTCCGGATGTTCCGTTTCTCCCTTTGGGCGGCTTCCATCTCCTGAAATTTTATAGGATCTGTTCTGGAAAATCGAAGGTGCTGAACTCGCGGACTTGAGCTGTTAAATCAGTTCCTGATGCTGCTAAATGGATATGTAATTTGATTTGATATTTAAGACAATATACTATGATGAAGAGAGCAATCGGCGCACAAGTGGTAATTGGTAATTCGATTTGGAGCGGCATTCAATCAAACTTGAAAAATTGGCATCTACCGCAGGATTCAACACACAGAGATACAGCTTATCAAGTCCGCATGTTCATCGATATGTTAACACGTTGACGACCGCGCCATTTTGGGCGAAACTCCCACTAACGTCCTTCGCGCATTTGGCCCGTGCATACGCGCGGATGCACGAAAACATTATGTGGGAGTCCTTTTGACGCTTATTCATAAAACATGTGAACTTTGTTCAGAGATACATGTATATTATAGAGCCTTGTTAGAACTTACACAAATCAAGGTTTTTGCGTGGATTTTCCCTCCCAATAACCGCGCAATTGCTATATTGGAGGAATTTCTTTTCAAAAAAAACACTGTAATACCAGGTATTTTTTGCTTGATACATCCTTTTTTGCTTTCAAAACAGCTTTACAGAGTTTTAACCTTCTCGGAAAAACGTAATTAGCATGTGTTTACCTCACCAAAAACCGACTGATTACCCAATTTGCGGCCCAAACTCCTGAACAGCTGCCGTGATGCCCTGTGTTCTGTAAGACTATCAGGCCACCAGTAGTATTACTGCATAGAAGTTACCTTAAAACTTTTCGTTTACACCTAAAAAACTAGCGTGCATATGCGCGGGTGCACGAAAATGCTAAACGGGAGTTAGGGCGTGCATATGCGCGGATGCATACGGTCGTCAACGTGTTAAAAGTAAATCTAGTAAGATAATTCAAACAGTACCGCGAATACCTCATCCTGAAAGGCATTGACTTCATGATGGACGTGTTTTTCTGGCTTAGCAGCCATATCACCAGCCATATTGGTAGCCATTTTTAGTAAATTAATAACAAATACTCATCGGTGGCCAATTGACGGCACACTTGTGAGAAGTGAGCCGAGCAGCGGCGGGCGGCTAGGGGCGCTGATGCAAATCCACGCTGACGAAGCAGTAGGGGCGGTGAGTTCGTGAGTGCGAGGCGGAGAATTGCTAGGAGACGCCCTCTGTGCACAGCAAAGACAGCCGAGAAGCGCACTTTCAGTCAGACTCTGCCGGCCAAACGCAGTCGTCTGTCTGATGTGACGACCGCAGCGGTCGGCTGGCAACTCCTCCCACTAGAACGTCATCTCTCTTCGTATTTGTTGCCGCTGATTGATGTGCAAAACCGGAAGGACGGGTGCAAAAACCCCCCTGAACTGCTACAAGAACAGAATTGTGGTCGACGTGAATAGGTCTTGAAATTAAGTATATACGACGGACTGACAACGCAAATCTTCTTTAACGAAAGGTGAAGTTCACGATGATGATTTGAAAACGCTGTGCTCTACTTCCTATTGTTTGGGCTTTTGTGCGCTGCGAATGCGTAGGTGGGCGATGCTATTCAGAACAAAACCTTTCAAGGTCTTCAGCTATTTGCGATAAGCACAAACACTAATAAACAATGACGCCATAAAGGACACAAGGTCGTTCTTCATTTGTAAACTATGACAGACAAATTACGACGTAGATGAAAACTAAGATAGCCATGAAATCAAACCGCCATAGATGTCCCCATATGAAACAAAAAAACTAGCTCACCAACAACAAGTTCCAACCTATTGTTAAATAAGCGAAAATAATTTAATAAAAATCTAATTCACACTTACCGCCATTCGGCCGGAAGAACCAACGGAGCAGGAAGATGGACCTTGTTCCGCTTGCACTTCGATCTTTGGGGTACGCACCACGCGTACGCGATGTTACACTCACTATACCCTAATTTACATGCAACTCCGTCATCGTTTGCCAAAAACATCATCGCCGCTTCCGCGTCCTCTATCTCTCACGAGCAACAAAAATTTTGCGCTTTACACCGTGATGGCTCTCAAAACCTTCACTCTCTTCTTGCCGAGTGTCAGCTTCCCTGTGGATTTTCAGCCGTAGACAAGTAGTCACATGAGGTTCGAAACTTGACCGCCTAATTTCTATTCAAAACTGGTTTGTGTGTTTTTGCTCAATTGTACATCAACTGTGACAGAACTAAGATTAACAGTTTAATCGGACATAGTCCGAAAAACAGACAATGGAGCACAATGAACATACATGATCGCTACATCACCAAGAAAAGTGACAACTAAATCAATTCTATGGAGATCTTGAATACCTTTGAGGAAAAAATGTCACAAAGTGACCAAAGCAAATGAACAGAGAAAACCGATCAATGGCTAACATACACCAAACCAAAAAAAAAATCTCGACAATAGCTACGACACTTTATGGCTATAGATTATTACAGACACATTGAGGCGAATATTATTACGAAAGAAAGGCAGGCGCAAAGACAATACGAGACAAAATGGTGTAAACAACAACGACACAAAAAAAAGACCGGTACATTTGGATAGAATAATTTGAACAAAACGATACTCGTACATAATAAGATCATGTTGCTAGTCCAAATACCACCTAAAATTTATTTAGGACAGCGAAAAAGCGATAACATTTGAAATGCTTTGTACCTAACTTAGTGATGTAGCTTAGCTTTATTCACAAGGCACAATCTCTCCAATTGACAGGTCTTGGGCAGTAATTACAGGCAACCATTCACAGGCGCTTCTTCTTCAGCATCGGCTTCGGCGTGACCGAGCGAATTCCATGCCTTTTCTTCGGCGGCAACTTCTCCGGATTCGTCAGACGAAGAGCATCTATCTCCGAAAACGGCTGAGGACACTAAAAGAAGCGTATCGATTTTCGATCCAAGTCTCGCGACAACTATTTGCTGAGTGCATTATTAAACAGTGAAAGAGGATCAAATGCTTAAACATATTGTTCTTCGATGCAGTAAGCCGCGGTCGATGACATAGCGGAGGCACTCGCTTGCACTCAATCTTCAGATCTCGAACAGCAGCTCTTTTCATGTGAAAAGGGCACTATACGCTCATGAATACCGCATTCCAAGTTCCATGCTGCTTCTTACACTCAACTCGACTTCTCTTCAACATTATCACCTCTTTGAACTATGAACACTTTCAGAGATTATAGGCAAGGTTGACGAACTAGCCACACATAAAGAACGCTCCGCTGCAAATGCAGTCGAATTGTTGCGCACAAAAAAAGCGGAAGGCATCTGCAGGGAAGCAAGATAACAGCACGTAGCTCGAAGAAAGAGAGTGAGACTGGCTAGAGCATATGCGGATTAAATTCTTTTAACAGATAATTTTTGGTACACTTGGCGGTACCACATAACCTAATTCAGCACGTGTTAACAAATAACGAGCAAACCGTCGATGTCTACGCATTCAATAGACGCTACCTTTACATCAGGTTTATTCACAGTCTCAATATTGGCAAAATCTGGCTAACTTTCAATAATTCAAACTGAAACTTTACTTCTAGATACAACAAATCAAGCTCTACATTGTAGCTTGCAAATAATCAAACAAAGTTTGTCTCCTACTATACCTACTGTCTCCTACATCAATTTTGCACAGAATCGACAATTTTAAACTCCTAAAATCGGACCTCCGTCCAGAAAAACCGCATACATTTTCGAAATTTGGCCTTTGATAGATAAAGATGCCATTTTTTACCAAGGCTAGAAAGTCAGAAACCAGATTAGTCCAAAAATGTGAAATTTTTGCTTCCAAGATTTTATGTTAGTTCTCCACAAGACGACTAATTTGTTACATCAAATTATCCTCAAAATCTCCTCCTCTCTTTTTGATTACTTTCATCGCGAAACAGAGGTTTGTCTTCTTGGGACTCGAACTTCATGAAATGGAACTAGCTTCCGCAGCATCTGCTCTGTCAATCTCATCAATGTCGAGGGCGAGTGCATATGAGTTCTCTGATGTAACGATGGTGAGGTACTCTGCTCTTGGGACCAGAAAACGGCTAATCTACAAGAACCATCATTGACTGCATAACAGGGTCGCTTTCACCATAAAATTCGGAAGGAAAAAAATCCGAGCCCGTTCTTCCAAAAGAATATGGCTGAGCTGTGTTCAAATCGTTCGAGCTGTACTCTGCTATTCAGAGAACAAAAACTTATGCACTCTAAAAGCTTTGGAATGGGAGTTTTCATCATAAAGTTACAAACAAGCTTTAAACATGAAATTTCGCAGTAATGTGTCACAACACATTTCGGAAAAGTGGGATTGACTTGCGACAAGGGCAGGAGCTGGTAGTAAGCAACATTGGGACAAGCAAATGGCAGTTGCGTATAAAGCAACAAGCCACGACGAGTCCTCGTGTTGTTTTTCCAGCCCAATCCTTAGAAAAAGAAAGACAAATCAGCCAAACAGTACTTCAAAACATACTTACAAGAAATCCGTGGTCACAGATAAAGGCATGTATGGCCCATTGTGTGACCCAAGGAATAAGGAATGGCACTGAACAAGCAAAATAATGATGACTGATACTTTCGTAATTTGCCTGTGACTTCTCTTTTCAATTGAATATTACCTTATTCAGATTAATTATCACTCAGTACTTAAAATTGTGTTAGACTTACTACACGAAAGATATTATCAAATACCTACTGGCAGACCCGGCTCTGCCCGGCCCTGTCAACAATATTTTCGTAATCATGCTCACTTACAACTCTGTAGGTAAAGCTTTGCAGAAACTCGATAAAATCGATGCTGATATGATGAAAAGTAACCTACGACACCCGCCCCTCCCCCCGAGTGTATGTGTGGCAGGTTTGGTCCGGATTGGTTCAGAAATATAAATATCTATTCGGAACATACGTACACACACAGACAGACATACATACATACATGCATACATACAGACAAACAGCTTTATTTATACAGACCATACCCCGAAGTCCTTTCCTACTTGTAGACGCGGCCCTGTGAAGGAAAATTCGAATATGGCGGACAGGGTGAGACTTGTGAGATTTCCACTTCACAATAATGGTCTACAAGATAATATTTAAATCTCAGTGCGAAATAAGCCTATGAATGCTAGGTCGTTCCAGTAGATAGAGATATGTCAAACACACCCAAAACTATTATACAATGAAAAATTCACTCCCACACAGAAAGCGTTTGTTCTAGCGCTAGGAAGCTGATTTTATTTTCGAAAAATTTACGCAAGTTTAAAGGATAATTAGAAATAAAAATTGCATAACATATGACTCTATCCTGCTTCCTATAACGAACATGACACGTTCAATTTCTCACAAAAAGTGAAATCAGCCTCGGAGTTTTTCTTTTTCGAACATGACTGCAAATACCGCGCTTTTCAAGAAATTCCGAGGTTGGAAGCTTACGAAAAATCTGAAAGAATTCTCGGAATTCAAAAACGGTGTTTATATTAGAAAGAAGGACTTGTTTGTCTGCCAAGTCCGATTGAAGGCTTCTTCGACATGTCCGCGAAGCTGAGCGCAGGCAGAAAGGCTGTTTTTTTCAAATCATGATGCTCTGTTGCCGAAATAAATCTGTAGCAAGAGAACTGCGCAAGGCAGCAAAGAGATTGGGGCACACTTCAGATTACTTACAGGCTGTATCAAGAAGAGTGTCACAGCTCTAGCGACTTGGGAGCCGCTTGCGCCATGCGCCGCGTTCGCGGACCTATCCTCTTTGTAATTTCCCTCGCTAAGCGACGATTGAAAGCTGGAAAAAAAAAAGAAGAAAGAGCTCTCAGATAGAGCTCGCGAACGCGGCGCAAAAAGATCAAGCGAGGCGGCCACTCGATCCGAGCCCCTAAAACTGTAATACTCTCTTTGAGGCATCCTATACAATCCACGGTCTGTAAAGACGTGTAATTCGTGAAATTGAGAGCAAAAAGGCCTTGTGCTTCTACAGTGTGTGAAAGCGATACTAGCAAGCAAAACATGCTCAACTGTACCTCTTCTTTTGTCTCGCCAACAAAATCATTTGCGTTAGATATGGCGGCTTCGCCATCATCAGTCTGAGCATCATTACACGCGAAAGCGTCTCTCGCCTCATAGGGTTCAGCCACTCCGTTATCACCATCCCACTGCACCTACAGTAAAGAAAAATCATAGCATTCTGATTGGAAGCAATTATGAAGCCTCAGGCAAGAAAATGGACATATTTATTATTTACAGTCACAATAATCAACTTTGCGTCGCATTTATTTCCGTAAGATTATTACGTCCCACGAAGCTTGGTTCAAGAGCATAGAAGAAATTCGCGTTGTTGATTACAAAAGTATTATCACTATTTAGTGACCAACAGTAGCATTGGTTTAGATGAGTTGGCTACCATACATCCGAAAAGAGAAAAACTCTTTTTGAAGAAGAGAAGCTACTCTAGATTACCAGTGATAGACAAAAAAATTAAGGTTCCGTTATTTATTGAACTAATGAAGACCTACATACGTGACTCCAACCATCCTTTACTTACACCTGGATACGGTATACATTACGTAGCGAGGGGTATACATTACGTGGTGAGCAACAACAGCTTTCGCTTTTCAACCCACTGATGAAAGCTTACGCCATGTTTCTTCAAAGAATCTTGGCTTCATATTCCTCTCTGAAGTTTCGCGATACACAAAGTCTGATAAATCTAGGAGAACTCCAAATGTGCGCTCTGAGGCCAATCCTTGCGCAAGTGTTGCTGGTGTTAGGAGCATCAATCCTCTTCCGCGCAAGTGTTGTCAGAAAAGATGGGTACTATACTGTTCCGCTCTTTGCAGTCTATGCTTTCGCCTTCTGACAACATAACATTTGTCAGAAAACAGCCGTCAGAGTGGCTAAGCTCGAAAGAAAAAGCAAAAATCTCGTCGTCGAGAGTTACCAACCAGGGCATTCGCAATACCATGCAGAAGGAGCAAGTTCATAAACACAAGAATCCTCCTCGAACACTTACACAGATGGACTAATTGAAAAGTGATCCAGTACGCAAAAACACAAAACTGCCCCACATCTGCATGCTTACGCATACACTAAACATCAACAATAGACCAGAGTAACACGCAGTGATTATTGCAAAAACCACAGGCACTCTAGCTTTGAAAAGAACAATAGAGTGCTGTTACACAAATGCGCAGCGTATACACACATTCCTTATGTTCAAAGTGCCGCCTTGTAGATGTGGAAGTGTGCGATACTAGAAGATAACAAGTTGCGATCAAAATTGAACCAAAATAGAGGACTTCTGCCTCCATGATACTGATGACGCATGACATAGGAAAATTTTAGAGATATACAGCTTTAGACAAGACCAAAAACAGTGTTTACAAACTGGGGAAGGATGTGTCCTCCAACGATAATACAAAGCGGATGTTTTGATCGCCGTTGTTGCATAGCATAAGACAGAGCCACCTTGAAAACTGTAATGCAAGTGGAGCGGGAGAAGTGGAAAGGGACCAAGATGTGAACTAAGCAAGATCCTCGCACTAAAGTTGTATGGAAAGTTTGTAACGAAAGCGCAAACAGCACAGTTTCAAACTACTCATTTTCGAAAATCCAAGCAAGGATGGTAGTCAAAAAAGCTGGAAGGACCAGAGCACCACAGTTTCTACGATATCATTCGAAGAAATGGCTGACACGAGTCCAATGATCACAAACCAATCGATTGTTCAATCAAAAAACAGTGGTACTATCTACCGCACGGTGATCGTCTTACTGAGTACGCAACCAGCCCCACGCTTTAAATTTAATGAAAATGAAATTATTCTTCCCAACGTTTGAGTTAACCGCCATAAATCAATCAAAAATGAAACATAGCCGATACACTTGCACTACCATTCCCAAATGGAGAAAAAAAGATCATACTACAACGTATCACACTTACCGAACTAGGTAGGCATACCGAATCTCGATGAACAATAGAGATGTAACTACTGGTAAATTACCTCGATCCTGTACAGTCATGGATGATGCAGAAATACAAGAAGATTGCTGGACTCTTTCATACCGCAATTTCCTTAATCTTACAAAGACAATCCTGCCAAACATAGTATAACGGCGCGATTTCTCTTCCGTGTCGCACGAGAGAAATGTCTTGAAAAGACAGGTACGGAATTCGATAGCTTCAAACCGGAAAAGGTGAATCAACCGTGAAGTCGAAACAGGTAAAATATCTCTGATTAAACAAAGGGCAAAAACTGCTTGAGCCACTTTGGGTCGCTTCTAAAAATGCTAAAAAAACTAATTCATGTTTGTTACATGCCCGGTTAAATGCACTTCTTGCGTGTGGCTTTCACTCACGATCTCGTTCGATCCCATGACCTCCGTATCAATGCTGAATACCTTGACGTCTTCATCAAAAGACAACTTGGTACCGCGTTCAAATAAGGGATCCAGGTTTCCTTTAGCGTACTCCTTGCTTCCCTGATAATCGTCAACTCTGAATGAAGCAATAACATAATCACAAATTCTTCATGGGTTTAGGATTGGAAGAACAGAACCCACATCTGCTGTGTCAACGGAAGAGCGTTACCGACTACAGGTGAACGATGGTAGTTGTCGATGAAATGAGCAGCCTGAAGAGCTTGCAGGAGTTCCTCACTTCTCTGCAACTTCGTCTGCAAGTAATGATATCAGCAAAGCAGGGGTACAGTGATACAGGAAATGTTTTTTCTTCTCTTGCATCGTGACTCAGGCCAAACTCGGTACATCCTCATCGAGGACCAAATTGATAACGATGCCAAATATTACTATATTTGAAGAAACGCTCCAAAACTAGTTAGAAATCACATAAATTACGCTTAGCAAAGCCACAAATTCAAAACATAATAAAGCAAGTATGATACCTTCCAACAAAGCTAAAAGAAGATTAACATCAATTTTGAAAACCGAGAATCAATCGCTCGACGCCGACAAAACTTCTTATCACCCAAGTCAAGCATTGGAGCTCACCAAGTCCTCTTTCTTCGTTTCCTTCGCCAGTTTTGGCACTTTGGACTTCTCCTTGATTTTTCTCAACTCTTCGGGAAGAATGTGACGACAGAACGACTCTCCCTCTTCTTTAACGATTTCATCGTAAACTTTTGCAGTGATGTGACTGAAGAATGATTTTGTCGAGGTCATATCCACCAAACTTTGCTATTACCATTCCCAAAAACCCATTTTGCCCATCAGTCGAAGAGCTCTCGCTACTGCTTTCACGTATTTTGGATCACTGCGGCGAGCATCATATCTGTAACCGAAATTCTTTCGACCGGCAATGATGCTCAACATTCATTAAGCTCATATGGCTTCATTTGAGATATAAAAACATGCAAGCAGCTAATCCAAGGAAACTACAAAAATTATCACAGTGAGGCATTCTCACCTAAAATGAAAAGCCATGTCAAAGGAGTCCACTTGAGTGTAATCGACCGTACTTTGAGTCTTGTCGTTGATCCATAGCACAGTAACCTTTAGATATGACAAGTATGATGGGATGGACCTCATGAACATCTTGTAGCACTAATTGTAAGTAACTCTGGGTTAGAGTAGCGCCTCCCTTGTACGCAAAACAATGCAAATCGTTGGTACTCAAAGTTACCATATTTCCATTAGAGGAGATGCCAGATAGTGCTTGTAACTCGTCAACGTTTCAATGCGAAATTAATATTGCTTGACAAAGGAAGGAACAAACCTTCACAGGTGCAGTGTCTGAGATGCTATAAACGGTTGCAGGCCAATACTCATTCTTCCTCCAGCGCACCCAGAGCACATCACCCACAAAAATTTCCTTCCAGTTACGTTCATTAGGTTCCTGGAAAAGCGCTGTCCGGCGGTCTATTATTATCCTGTGACAGATGAGAAACTAACTCGTCTTCAATGAACGATCTAAAATGCAAATCACAAAAATACAATCTAACTTGTTTCAAACTAATATTTTGTACAAGTGTAATTTCCACAGCAAATTCTAAGCTAAAGAAATCAAAGCTGCTAACACAAAAGAAAGCGAACTGACAAGCGTTTCAGTTCTATGTACAGTTCCGAGTCAAGCAACTAATCTCGAGGCACACAATTCTCTGCAGAAAATGAATGAGCTTGAGATGAACAATTGACTCACCTTAGGCGGATTCGCAACAGCAACTTCGTACTTGACACCGAGCTTCACAAAGCACTTATCATCTCTGGTCAGGTATCGCACATCCCTGACAGCTCGCTTAGAATAGTGAACAAAATGAGGCACCTTTGCGCCATCGGGAGATATCATGAACGGCTCCATGCGAAAAGTCTTGTAAGCATTCGACCACATCTTATACCTAAAACAATCAGTGCGTATTCACCTCAGTAACCAGTGCTATATAACGCAATGCATATCTGTAACTCGTGTTCGGGTCCACTGGCTGATTCGGTACCCCTCTTTGTTCATCAGCTGGTGAAGATTCATCTCCGTTCTCGTTCACTGCTTCTCTTGCAGCATCATCCGCGCGATAAACTTGGACCGCAAGTGACTGATCCTCTTCATACGCCACGGGCTCAGATTTGATCTTTATTTCACACTTTCCTCCTTTGGAAACTCGAGCATCACCACACTCCTTCGGTTCAACAGACGAAGCTTCGTTCTTGTTGAAAAGTGGTTCGTCTTCAGCAATGCATAAGCCGTCATTAGCAGAGCTGTTATCGGTATCAGCGGATAGATGCTCGCTGGGGATGTCGACGTTATCATCAAACAATGGCAAGTCATCCGTTTCATCTTGATTCTCAAGGTGCTCACGAGCGTACTGCGAAGATAACACCTTTGGCTCCGCACTTACAGGCAAATTAGAAGGTGACGTTGAATCGGATGTGCGAGCATCAGGAGGAATCTACATGCATATGATTAAGACATTCAGAACTGACCATGGCTGTATTTTGATAAGATCAATCTGTAACCGACCTCTTCGTCTGAAGCGACGCGCTCACCAGTACGTCTTCCTGCACGTGGACGCACCTTTTTTGGCTGGAAACAAAATAATAACGTAATCTGTGCATGGTGTGTATCATAAATAAGATGCTATAGCCACCGTTAACTCTGCTGCAAATGCTCTTCCGCTACCTTTCCCATTTTCTTCCCAAAATTCGATACCTGTTATATTTTGTTTGTTATACTTTAGAAACAACGTGTAAGGCAGCGGATGAGACGCATATGGCCTCGGGCAGAATTCAAGCGATTTCATCACCTTGCGATTCTGCAACAAGACAAAAGTTACAAATTCACTGCATGCTGATCATCTTGCATTTCGGTTGTTTTTCCAACCCAATAAATCGTGACTAAGTATCACAACAGAAATGCAAGATGATCGGCATGCAATGGTTTCGTAACTGTAGCCTTGTTTGGAGAATCGCGAGGCGATGAAATCGCGTGAGCTCTGCCCGAGGCCTATGGAGGTACCTCCACTCGAATACACACTACAGTTATTATCAGTCAGATACCCGGCTCTGTGACGATCGTCGACGTGCCAGTCTTGCCGTTTGCTCATGATCACCTTTGCCAATATCGTTGGAGGAAACGGAGTTGTGAAATGTGCTGTAGTCACTATCCTCACATTCGGTCTTGATAACCTGAAATCAAGACTTAAAATTTTAAGTCACTCTAACTTCTGTACACTGGTTTCCACTTTGCGAAAGAGTATGATTTATGCATAAAGCAACCGTAGTGCAAGAGACAGAAGCGCAGTGCTTTCTATATCGGCTTTATGACGATACAAAAAGCACCAAACGCTACCGTTTCTTGAAAGCAAGAAGATATATATATATATATATTGCAGCTTGCAACCTTATTTACTTTATCTGCGTAACCGAAAGCGCTTAGGCTCATTTGAAACAGCATGCTTGACTATGGCCAAACTAACATTCACCGTGATAACGAGTCATTACTAACCACAAAAGAAGACAAAGCAACTGGATAAGGTAGACATGTTGGGACGAACAGAAATCGCCTGCCTTTATTGGGGCTTGCTGCAACTTCTCCCTATTCTCGACCACCGAAGGCATTATTGCTTGAAAGTATGGCTCATCACTACTCTCTTCCTCTTTTTTGACGATGCATAGTCCATTCACCAAAGGCCCACTTGGATCTTTCGACCTCTGCACGAAGCAGTGAATGGAGCTAATGAATGCATGATTCGAAAATTCTACTTACGGTATGCATGAAAGGAGAAAGTAGAATTTTGTCATCATCGTCATACACCGGCCAGTAGCGGCTTTGGCGGACTCTTTGTGGTGAAGCACTTTTAGTTGCTCGAACACGATCGTAGAGGCGAATAGAGGAGTCTGGAGGGGCAGAGTAGCTAGCACGATCCCCTGAGGTAGCAGAAACATGATAACGCTGAAGTTGACATAACAAATTGACTTACTCTCGAAATTACGACGAGGAACAACAGCACTATGCTGAAAGTAGATAACATAATTGAGCATTTGGTAAATCGTACGGCATTCCAAAGCATGAGAGAGGAGATAGAGATAGAGATAGAGACAGAGAATATATGCATATAATGATGGAAAAGTGAAAACGAGAACTGTTGCTTACCTTAACCGCACTCGGACAGGATGATTTACACGCGCTTCTCAAGTATACGGTACCTGAAACTTTCACACCATACAGAAGTAGGAAAAACATCATTGACCATACTCACAAGATACTGGAGTGCCTTGGCGCCTCACATACGATGTTTTCACCACGGGTTCGCCGCGCCTTTGCTTTTCTAGAAGAGAGGAGAACAATGAGAGACCCCAAATCAAGTGAAAAGCATACTTTTCCAGATATGATGAGTCACAAAAGCCTCCACTTTTCCGTCACCCCTACCATATGTTTCGACACTTCTACTCGGCCAAGTTGCCATAGCATTCATACTGTTTTCAACCTTCTCCGTTTTTGAAAGTGAGCAGTTGAGATCTTCAACATGCACATCTCCATTAGTAGCAAGTTCACTTCCATTCCCGTTAACAAAACTCGACGAGCCGCTACTTGGGTTTCGATTCTCAACAAGATGGCTTTCATCTGGAAACTTCTCGACGTTCACTCAATGTATCAGCGACAAACAAAATACAAACCAATCATGTAAGCAACGTTGCTGGATTCATGCGATACACGACGCTTCTTGGTCTTCTTAAGAAAATGTTGTAGAAAGAGATGTGAGAAATGTATGACGGACCTTGGTCTTTTTATGAACCTTCCTGTCCGTCGACTCATTCGCTTCGGAGATCCTCCTTTGTGAGAGCCTACTAGTACTTTCAGATGTTTCGGAGCATGTGGCCGTGGCATTTTCAACTACTTCATATTCATCATCAGCGAGACGATGAAAGCGTACTTTCAGCGGGCGTCGACCCGTTGCATTTTTCTGAAAAATTTTGCTCGTTTACTGCTGTAGATTCGCAGTTTGCAAACAAGAGGAGCATATTGAAAGCAATGCAACGAAGCGACCAACCGCTTCACATCTCGATGACGATGGAGATGAAGCATCGGTTGGAGAAAATGACCACCTCTCTGGTGACGCTGGAGGTGACTCCTTAATGGGATCGACAAGATTGTTGGTACCACTATCCGAAGGAGGAGTCTTCGAACTACCTTCCGTGACTCTGAAACATACAGCAAAGGTTTTAATATGAGATGATGTTGCTCTTTAAACATGCTCTTATTAGCCGCACAAAAGACTCACGAGTTCTGCGGCATAGAATCGTCGGCACGAGAACGCATGTGCATGATGTTCTTCACCTTCTGCACAATCTTCAGCCTGCGCAAGAACAATTTGAATAGCCACTATGACATAATGACAAAGTTACCAGTCCTCCTCGGTTACCAGACTGGTAAGCGGAGGAAAAGGGCTAATGGTGGCTTTCAGAAGGATACTTCCATCACCAACATTACTGGCACAGACTTGCGGCTGAACGCTGGTGCTTTGTACATATTCAGACAGCAGATTATCTGTAAGTGGGAAAAAACAAGTATGGAAAAGTTGCGAAGTAACACAAAATCTTACTGAATGAAGTCGCAGTTTCTGCACCCGTCCGAGCCTCCTTCACGATTCCTTAAGAAAGCCCTCCAAGTTTTAATTTGAAAGCGCAATACGGGTAAGACATTCAAGCAATCTCAAGAATAAGTGCTCACCCTCGGTATTTCCCTCGGGCGAATTGGACGAAAACGATTTCGATCGCATAGGTAACTCGAACACCCTATTCTGAAGCGAAAAGTTAGATCTAAAACTTATGACAGTAAGTTTTTGCGATGAAAACTGACGACTGAGCAACGAGGTAACGACATCCGCGCTGCTTTGCGCACGCGCTTTTTCTGAGAAGGTTTCAAGTAAGGGATCAAGATGTCAGAACAACGTTCTTTGCTGCATACTTACATCAAGTCCCTTCCCTTTCACGGCGATGGAGAGTTCGCAAAAGACTGTAGACTCAAACATACTCTCGGTCTACCTTGTACACACATACAAACAGTGCTTTGAGAATCGACCTCACTACACTGCAGATCCCAGAACTTTTTGACAAGTTCTTCCAAACTTGAAACCCCCTCCTCAACCGCATGCGTGGAAAAAAATGAGTGCAGGATTTTGCATGCAGCATTATCGAAGTCGGACAATCTGCCCAGGACCAAGATCCGCGCGCACGTTGTTTCCCAATTGATCTATACTTAATCATATTTGCAATCGTTACTCTCTCAGCTTGAATGGTTATAATGAGAAGTAGCAAACCGCCCATATTTCATATAAATTGACGTTGACTATCATACAAATCCCAGTTTGCCCCTTTTGAATAGCGGAGCATGCGATGGTCAGAGACGTAGAGTGAGGCTAACCGCCAGGAAGTCGCTGAGTTACGTAATCCAGATGGAATGTTTTTTTGAAGCCGTTCGTTTCGGTATCCGATGAAACGACTGTCTCGACACCAAGGAGACCACTGTATTCCACTGAAACTACAAGATCTCATTGAGGTTTTTTTTTGACATGAGGCCTATTGTGAAATTTGCTTTCTACATGTCTGAAATTATGTTGGGGTTTTGGCAGTTGCAATTTTTGCTTACTCCCAGCCTGGAGTTTCTTCATAAAACACTGTCCCAAGTTCATACTTTCGTGCTATTAGTTTGACAGCGCATCGAGTATCGAATCAGCTCAGACAGCATTGATTTTGAGCATCTAGATGCAGCTACTGGCTCGTAATGCTAAATGAAAACTTTTTTGCAAGTGCAAACACCTCAAGCCACTGTCTTGGAAATGGGTACATTCTACTCTGATACCTTTTTATCCACGCTGAGCCAGCAAATAACCCTGCCATTTGAATTTACATGGTCCACATTGTGCGGGTTTGGCCGATGATCAATTCGCTCCTTTAGAAAAGCAAACCTAAAGAATCCTTCCAGTCGTTTTTGTCTACAAAAATCATAGAAAGTAAACTACCGCGTCATAGGCGTGCATCATCCCGGTGCAACCATGCACACATCATGCAGGTATAGCTTCTTAGGTCATGTTCATATTGATGTGTCAGATCACTGTCCATCTATACCCAATGTGAGCTTGAGCTCACAATAAGAATAGTTCTGCTTTCTTGGTGTTCAGTTTTGTCAGTGACCGCAGCATTTCATCAGTGGACTCAGACTCATTCTGTAGTTTTATACTAACTCTTCACAAGCGTGCCTTTAGTCATCTGTTGATCTGCGCCAGCCAAGCACACGGCATGAACTGCTGCTCTTCTGTTCATTGATCGTGACCCTGTTTTCTCATTGGTAGACACTGCCGTGGTTTCAAGTTTGACAACACCTGTGACGAACACTGATCGCTGTGATACAGCATATCTGAATTGGAGCTACTTTAAGCGGTGTGTCTTGGGACATCTAGAAGAAAATCGCCGTAGTTAAGTAAATTGCATGGTACGTTTGCTGTTACCAATGCTTCCATTCTGTTTGTCTATTTTCAACACTATTTGGAAGTACAGAATGAGTAGCATTGTGTTGCTGGTGTGTGGGTCGCTATTTTTGCATTTATGCTTCCAAGTTTGATTTTGCCTTCGGCTTTACTGGAAAGCGGTTTCCTGGTCTACTTGCGATTCTGAACTATCTTACTGATTTTATTTTCATTTGTCGGAGTTTCTGTTAAATGCAAGGTGTTACCATCCAGTTTGCATTTTCGTTTATGGAGTAACTAAGAGGCTGTTAGATTGTATAAGGCTGTTATTATTTGCTTCGCACTTTGCATGCGAAATTCAGATCTATCTGTAAAAGTCAGACCTTTCGTATATGATCTTTGTATGTAAATATCTAGGAGAGCATTAGAAAATCCATTTTTCATACATCGAAGCAACTTTGAACCTGTTATTCGGATCCGCATTCACGTGTGCATAGTGTGGCTATCACATTTGTGATGCTATCCACACATAAATCTGTTGTAAAGCTTTTTGGTTCTGGACTTTTCACTGATTACTTCCTTTTTGCAAGTCGGGCATATCTATCTAGTATTTCTCCTGCTCGTGACAAAATATTTACCAAAACCGGACTCGTAAATAGCATTACGCGAAATGATTCTCTATACTTTTTTTGATCTCATATAGCTTATTTCCACGCTGTTTGCTCCGATGAAACGCGTCGTCGGCATTCGTTTTGAGCGGGCTGTGGCAATTGCTGCTAACCTTCTAGAAGCAGCAGAGATCAGGAACTATCATGTTTTGGGTATATCTGCTTACGTAACAACAGTATGTGTGCTCTTAAATTTTAGATTGTTATCATCCATTGTAAAAACATTGTTGTTTAGTTACCTACTACCTTCTACTATGTGACTTTGTTCTCTAAAGTTTATATTAGAATGTTCATGATCATCTACTTTAGTCTGCATCTTGCTTTATGCTGTTTTGCGTTATTTCTGCCTTGTTAATATCATTCTTTAGACTACTCCCGCTCCTAATCCGTTGAAGGAAGGAATGGAGAACGGAGTAGACGAGAAGGGACAGACACAGGGGAAGGAGAATGTCGAGAAGGGCGTATTACAAAAGGATACCACAGATATGGAAATAGAAAAGGCTGCCAAAGACACATTTGAACTCAAGGCCGATCTTGGAGTTCATGATCTTGAAGGAGACAACCGAGACATGGATGTCGATAACAGGGATACAGATGTAGAGAATGTCGAGGTAAGGTATTGTTTACAGGCTTTCTTAAATGGAGTCATACTTGAATACCTACTACTCTTCCAGGTTGACATGGTTGAGGATTCAGCCAGTGAAGAAGACGATGCGTGCACTCCTCCCGATGCTGCCATGGACGTGAATGTCTCATGCGATGACGAGTGTGCAGAGCCTATTAAAAAATGTCAGCTCGTTGATACATACGGTTTGAACTCTCATCACTTGGAATTCTATTTAGTCGAAGATATGCCTCGGTGTGAAAGCGACTATATGACAGAAGAGGAGGACGATCCCGATGACCTCTACAAACCGGAGGGTACTATATACCTCGATATCGATGGGTTCAGTCAGTTTTGTAAGGGATCTCCTGAGACTCAACAACGTCTTTCGAAGCCTGTGTTTGTTCGCGGTCTACCATGGAAAATCCTAGCCATTCCAAGGTACTCGGTCTAGCGTTAGTTCTTTCTTTATTGTTCATTTTGGGACGATTGGGGCATTCGTTTAGGGACGCGGCCCGAGTAGGAACCGGCACGAGACCCAATAAAGCTCTTGGCTTTTTCCTTCAGTGTAATGGAGACTCTGATGCAGTGGCTTGGAATTGTATAGCATCAGCCTCGTTGAAGGTATGTTCACGTGAATCTATGTAACGATCTAACGCCGCCCTTTGCATGCACGAACTGCGCTGATATAGTCAGAAAGTATAAAATCTCGAACACGGCGTGAAAAGGTTGCGTTGCAAATGGACAACGAACAAGAAGCTTATGCTGAATAGGAAGTGCATCTTACACGTGGATAGCTGTTTCTATTTAGGTTCTGGGTCAAATTGAAGGGTTTGAAGATCACTCGCGACGCATCACTCACACGTTTTATCCGAAGGAAAACGACTGGGGATACTCACAATTTTTAACATGTGATGTGAGCATATTTCATCATATCTGTTCTAGTACAAGTTCTTGCATATTTCAGCATTTGATTAATCCCGAAAATGGTTTTATAAAGGACGATACTATTCGCTTGGTAGTACATGTATCCGCGGACGCCCCGCACGGTGTACAGTAAGTTTCTATCATTGATTCTTATACACTGTCCTCACATGCGTGTCCGACTTGATCTTTTCAGGTGGGATAGTAAGAAACATGCCGGTTATATTGGACTAAAAAATCAGGGAGCTACTTGCTATATGAATTCTATACTTCAGACATTATATTTTACTACAAAGCTGCGTAAGGTACGTCTAATATACGCTTAATTTCCAAATGCTTATTAGAGCCGAGTAGTGAAAGTTTATCTGTTGCACAATATTGTGCTGAGTTTCGTCGAAAGCCTACATTGTCACTTGTGCAGTGATTTAAATGTGAGATGGTTCAAAGGGTTAAATAAGTGCTAATTTTGGAACGCATTTTTGGTTTTGCTTTCCACTCTTGTTACCTGCAAAGATGAGCTTTCTGGTTATGTTACAGGCAGTGTACGACATGCCGGTCTCGCAGGATGATTCGGAGAATAATGTTGCCTTGGCGATGCAACGGGTTTTTTACGATTTGCAGGTGTGTTTTTTTCCATTTTGTGTATGGACCGTGTACATATACATTTTTGCGTCGGATTTTGCACTGCATGGTGTTAACGTTTTCTGCTTTCACTTTCATTTTTGAATTCTTTGTTTTTAAATGGTGTTAGTTTTCAATCATCAAGCTCGTTGTGGCGAGTGCGCGCATTTAGGCACCGCAAAGCAGCTGATGGGCATAGGCTGTGCCTGATCGTGAAGTGAGGTTTGTGGTCGTTGCGACGCGCACGCCCAATGCGCTGAAGTTAGGCAGGAAAGCCTGAGTTTTTCTGCGATTTTTTGAATTCCAAGCTTTTGTTCCAGATAGTGAATACGTTATTGCATACGCTTTCTAGTGTAATTTCAACGCTGACGGCAACAGCCTCAGCGACATTAAACGTGCGCGGCGCAATGGCCGCAAACTTCATAAACCTTCACCATCGGTTACGATGGTTTTGGCACGCGTTATGCTTGGTCACTGGATCCGCTTGATCCACTTCATCACTTCGCTATTGGTCAAATCAGTGAACTGATCAATGGCAAAGCGGATGTCCATTTGATCCATTTGATCCGCTTCATCCACTTTAGTGAAGTGGATAAAGTGTGGCGGGTGTTTTTGGTGTAATCTTCTGTATCGGATGTTTTCAGCACTCTGACCGTCCGGTTGGAACCAAAAAGCTGACGAAATCGTTTGGTTGGGACTCACTAGAGACTTTCATGCAACATGATGTGCAGGAACTCTGCAGAGTTCTGCTTGATAATCTTGAAAGTAAGATGAAGAAGTCGCCGGTCAGTTGATGTTCCTATTACTTTTAAGGGATACCTTCTGCTCACATCGTCTTTGTTCAGGTGGAAGATACCATTCCGAATTTATTTCGCGGTGTCATGAAGTCCTACATTCGCTGTACAAATGTCAGCTTCGAGAGCAGCAAAGAGGAGCCTTTTTATGACATACAGTTGAATATCAAGGGGAAGAATAATAGTGAGTGATTAAATCAAAATGAATAGATTCTGTACATGGGGATACTGGTTGAAGCTTGAACGGAAGCAAGCGTGTAGAAGCTGGTGTCAAGTTTGACGAACACCTCAGCGCCTCACAGAATTCTTTACATCTTTGCTCAGCCTTCTTCAAGCGTTGCGCACTCATTCACAGCCAGTTGGTCATGGCATCACTAAGCCAAATCAGTAGACGTAGTAGAACTTGCGCATCTGCATTGGTGCAACGCATTCCTCTACGCGGAGTTTGCGGAGCGCGTGGTCACGTAGCGAAAATTCACTTGCATTTTTCAGTCATGCAGTCGTTCCGCGAATATGTTCAAGTTGAACGCTTGGACGGGGAGAATAAGTATGACGCTGGTGACTACGGAATGCAGCCGGCTGAAAAAGGAGTGAAATTTGTTTCCTTTCCGCCGGTTCTGCATCTACAGTTGATGCGTTTCCAGTATGATGCCACTCTTGATGCAAACGTGAAAATCAATGACAAGTATGTTTGTGTTAATACCCTTGCCTTCAAGATCGAGCGGAAGTGGAATGTTTCTGGTATGTTAAGGTTTGCATTCCCGGACAAGCTGTGCCTCAATGAATTTGTGGAAGGTAACGGCGAAGACTACACATATTCGCTACATGCCGTATTGGTCCATTCTGGTGATTTCCACGGAGGTCACTACGTTGTTTTCATCAACACTGGACTGAGACCACCAGGAGAAAAATATAAACCGAAGGTGTAGTTGACTGTAGAAACAAGCCGGGCATGCTTTGCAGGATGCGTCGCAGCCATGCCGATTGCTTAGCTCTTTTACTGTTGTACATAGACGAATCTGAACGCCGCACTTAGCGAAGCGGGCCTGAATGCAATGCGCGGGCAGCTGCAGTCTAATCGTTTTCTGTGGTCGACTGCACGAAATCGCCCGTGTCGTCGTAGAGTGAACATCCGTGAGCGTACAGTGCATGTTAACCACGTGCTCCCTTTTCCGTAAGCGCAATGAGCTTCGCGCCATGTGCGCGGGCGTATGGCTCGGGCATTCAAATGAGCCTCATCGATTGGAGGTGCGCGCGCAGGGCCCTTGCGTTGCGCATGCGTAGATCCCATGCGAAAGGGAGTACGTAATTGACATCGACTGTATCTGGCGCGCGGCTCTATAGTGGCGTGGGCGCTACGTTTAGCAATGGCGCTTGATGGCTCATACAGTTGGCAGACGCGCGCGACACACTCGCGGGCGTTCAGCCCACCGCGATACGCCTCGGTCAGAGTTCACGCTGTTTCATCGCCGCGATTCTTCCAACAAAACAAGCGGTTACGAGTCTATTGCATGCCGATCATCTTGCATTTCGGTTGTGATAGTTCCACAAGACCAATCGTGACTAACTATTACAACCGAAATGCAAGACGATCGGAATGCAATGGACTCGCAACTGTTTGTCTTGTTGCAAGAATCGCGGCGATGAAATCGCGTGAGCTTTGCCCGAGGCTATACGGGCATTTTCGTGCAACTTTATTCCTATATGTGTAAGTGCACATACCATCCATAACGTGTCATCCCGGATGTCGCTGGCGTTGGAAGCTTCTGGTATAAGCACTTCTTCAGCGTTTGCTGGTAGTTTTCACCTAAGCCACGCATAAGTGGAAGCATTTAGTGGAAATTTACTGGACTTGTGTGCAAAGCGGCTCATTCAGTACGGTTACGCGTAGTGTAGATGGTGCCTTGACATACATCAAGATTCGCGAATGGACTTTACTATCGTTGTAATCCTGCCCCTCTTGCGTTATGCGGGTCCTCCTGGGTCTACCGACGTCGTCCTGCCAGACCTTACAGAATGCGACATCGCCTGCAATTCGGCCAAAGTACCACGAAATTTGAGTGTTTTGCTCCGTGGCCGTTTCCGTACTCCCTATTCGGCTGCCGCTTGCTTCTGTTCATGCTGCTGCTGGCAGTTAGTAGCGTTTTTTATTACTCGAGGGATTATACCATTTGTTTTAGCCGCATAGGGTTAGCGTGGGTGCAGTTGCCGCAATGGTCTTATCACCTTCTGCGAAATGGTATTTGGAAAGGTAGGAGGGGGGGGGGGATCAACGATATCTAGTTTATTTCAGTCACTTTGTGTAATTGCACCATTTCGGTTGACAACTGCTGATCTGAACCGTGAAGTACCCTTCCACTTCCTTGAACATTTGAGACAGGCTACAGCCTTTCCCAACCAGGAATGCGATAAACATGGTGCGCGTCCGCACCACCATGGTTTTGCGTCATGTCTGCGAATTGTCGGGCAAATGCAGGGCCTTTCTTTTTTAGAAGGGGGGCCTTTCTTCTTTAGTCGCTCTCTTTTCTCCGGCAGAATACATCCAGACAAATGCTAAAGGTGCCTGGATCCTGCTGCTTTTGCATGATCTTGATATTTTTGCATGATCCTGATTGTGGTAGACTGGATATATCGCTTGCCCTTGAGCAAATGGTGTTGAAAGGCAATCGTGGCCGCGAGCGCTCGGCGCTTTGCGAGATTTGTGAGCGTTTTTAGAGTGAATTTTGGTGGAAGAACTAGGCAGAGACTATCAAGTAAAGTCGATTGCCCAAGAATCGGCCCAAGAATCGTCTCGCTTCGCGCTGAATGACCGCATGTGCGGTTAATGCTGCTGCCAAGCATTAGCGCTCGTGTGACTCACGCGCCTCAATGCTAACGAGGAAATGGTCAGAAGTCGAAGTGACCAATCCATACATGCTGCATACCATACGATGCAGCACAAAACGCTGATTTCAAATCTGTCTTCCATATCTGCAGAGCGCTTTTGTAAGCGAAGTTATGATCAGCTTTACTGCGAAAAAACCGAATACAAAAATTGCAAAATTAGGCACATTACTGCTCTTTCAGCTCAACTTTAGGTACGGGTCATATGAAGGGACCTAGTTGTATGTTTTGGTCCAACGCTGAGCCGAGAATGGCTTTGTGCGGCCAAGTTTGCACTTTATACGCACAATTTCTTAGCAAAATGATGGCCTTCAACGGTTTATAACTTCGTCCACAAAAGCGCTCTGCAGATAAGGAAGACAGATTTTGAGTCAGCGTTTTATGCTGCATCTAATGGTATGCAGCTTGTTTGGATTGGCCACTTCGACTTCTGACCATTCCCTTGTAAGCATACTCCGCAGCCAGCTCGGCAGCTGCCTACCAGGGGCTCACGGACATTCGGGCCACGGTTTTGGAGTCAACTTTCTCTCTTCTGACGTATTAGTGGATGTTGGTAGATCTCAGAAATATTGAGTCAAAAACAGCTAGGGTACTAGTATGTCTGCAAGTCCCGAAACGGCGCGCAAACACTTGCCTTATAGTGGCGGTGTCATACATCCAACAGCTCGCTTGTCGCTATAGTCTTGAGGGCCTTCCGCGGAGTTCTGGGGCTGAGCCGTCGGAGTAGTAGAGGAATTTCGTTGGAAGGGGAGGTCGACGGATATTGCAACAAATACGCATCTTCTATAGTAGGGGCGTTGTTGTAGATGTACGGACGAAACCTCCTCTTTCCGCGGAATATAGTCGTCTACCGCCTCTGGAGCTATGAAACCGTCATGGTCATGACTGCAGGAAGTCCTCGAAGTATTGCTTGGTCGCGGGTACACTTTTTTCTCGGCAAAGGGAGCTGTAATCAGCAGAAGATATAAGCTGAGTTGCTACATTAATATAACGTTTCAGTGGTGTAAATTCGACGACGACGTGGTGTCACGAGCTACAGTCAGGGAGGCTGTGATGGCTAATTATGGCGGAGATGATGGGGAATCTACTGGCAGAACATACACGAACGCCTACATGCTTGTCTATATCAGGCAGACTTGTATAGGTATAAATTCTCATTATTTTGAGGCGGGTAGTTTTTTGTGTATATCTTCTATTCACCATTTATGATTCAGATGATGTCTTATGTCAGCATGAAAACTTGCAAGTTCCTGCTCATCTAGTACAGCGGTTTGAGAACGAAAGAGAGGAGGAAAATAAGAAGAAGAAAGAAAAGCAAGAGGCGCACTTATACACAGAGATTGTGGTAGGTTACCAAACATTTGAATTCAGTATATTCATCACCAACACGAAAGGGAACTGGCGGCCGCCGTTTTGGTTTGTAGGAGAAAACGAAAGTACTCAGTTTGAGCACTTTTGTGTGTCTGCATACGTTATGCAAAGCAGAAAATATTTAGTATCCCAACGATCGAATCTTACTAAATTTATCTGGTCTATTGCCTCTTTAGATGGTAACGGACGAGCATCTCGCCAGCTACAATGGCTTTGATTTGGTTGACCCTAAGCTTTTGGATGATTCTGGCCTCCCAAGGGAAAAGATTGAGAAAGGCATGACTATACCACAGCTGTATGACTATGTGAAGCATAAGCTCTTCTCCAGTGAAGATGATGTAAGACGTTCCCGTATGTGCGGGCTTTTGAAAAAGTAATGTATCTTTTAAGATCCCTGCTCGTGAGATATTTCGCATCTGGAAGTTCGAAGAGACTACGTACAAAGATGAAGGGAGCATCATGTCAGCCCTGCCTCGCTTACGTCCAACATCACTGGTGAGTAAAACGATCTGTTCGAATAGCTCAAGCTCAGCAGCTCTTTTAAGATACCGCACTCTGAAGAGACTCAAGAGAAAACGCTTGAAGCTGTTCTGGAAAACGACCGAAATCTTCTGTACATAGAAACAACTGTTTCAAGCTCACTGAGAAGTTACAACGAGAATTGTAGGTTCTCTCAACACTTTCTCTTTCGCGACGTAATTAAAAAATTTGATTGCGAATTAGTTGCTTGAATGGTTTGACCTACTTTTTCAGCGGAAATGCTGATGTTTCTCAAATACTACGATGAGGAATCACGCTCTCTACGATACGTCGGTCATTTTATTGTCGCCTATCGTCAGTGCATGTCAGCGTACACCAGTGAATGCCTGAAACTCATCGGACTTCCGGAGGGCACACCTCTGCGCTTTTATGAGGTATGTGTTGAGACATTCCGTTTCCTTTTGGTAATATCGTTTAATACGCTTATTCAGGAAGTTGCGCCTGATCGTATCCGATTGATAGAGAGTCTTGGCAAACCACTGTGTGCTGACAATACAGTTGTCGAAGTCAGTGATGGAGGCTTGCTGATTGCTGAAAGAGCGGACAGAACGAATGAGACGAACAACGCAAAGCTGCACCTGGATACGCTGTATAACACCATTGACATCGAGGCTGTCGCCAATAACGACTCATTCGTATCAAGTCATGCCGAAATAGATCCGCCAATTACTGGAACAATTGGACTGGTGAGTTACTTTTGCAGTCGTTATTGCAGAGTTGACGAGGATGGCTTAGTTTAGAACTGGACCATGAGGCAGCTGGTTGATTACATCGGTAAAGAGATCAACTACGATCCCGCAAAGATTCTTCTGTGGCGAGTTTCGCCTTTCAACGATCGAGCAACTCAGTTTCTCACCGATGCTCAGTGTAAAGTAGGTTCTTGCCATTCAATAGCTTACCTAATTTAATCGTCTTTTCCAGGTTTTGCGTGTAAATGGATTACTTGGACTGGCAGGTGCGCAGCTTCATGACCCTAGACGTAACAAAAGGTATAGATTTTTTAGCTTTCTCCTGTATCATTTGAAACTTGTCATGGTTTTCTGATCCACTTTCAAGGTATCGTGTTGTTTATACAAAAATGCCGATTCCAATCGCTGACATGGAACGGAAGCGACAGATGAAAATTCAGATGATGGACGAGAAAATGAACATCACTGTAAGCGATCAGTCTCACTTACATTTGTTGTATTCCTAAGGATCTCCGAACTTTCAGGAAATAACGATATTCCCTGAAAAGACGGGTACGGTGCGTGACATCTTGGAAGAGGCGAAGCGTGAGTTCAAGTTTGCTGCCAGCGGCACTGGAAAGCTTAGGTGAGCATAACTAGCATGTTAGAATTGTACGGCGTACTATTCGATTTTTAATGTTATTTTAGGCTCGTATACGTTGGGCAAAGCAGCCAGAGCATGCGTGCGTACATGATTTTCAAGGAGGAAACATCGGTAATGGAAGTCTTCCAGAAAACCATGACGCCGTCCATGTATATGGTAAGGTGTTTCCTGGCTACTTTTACTTTCAGCTGTGATTTTTCGGTGTTACCAGTTATTTCTCAATCTTCGCAATTACCCTACAGGGCCGCGTTGAAGAGGTTCCGCAGGATCAACTGGTGGTCAAGAGTAACGAATATCTCGTGCCTATAGCTCATTTTGATAAAGATCCAGGGCGAATGTTTGGAGTGCCATTCTTTTTGAAAGTCGGTATTTGCGGTTTATTTTTCCTTTCGGATACCATACATATCGTACTATCAGGTCTCAAACGATGAGCTATTGTCAAGCGTTCGCGAGCGTATCCAAGCTAGATTGGATATTCCGGATAAGGAATACGAGAAGTATAAATTCGCGCTCATCTCGTCCTCAAGAGTTGTGAGATATCTGGATATGACATCAAATGGAAGGGTGAATCTCGCCGAACTTGGACATGCTCATGTTGCATGTGAGTTGTTGTGATTCTATTGCTATTTTAGTCTTAAATCTTCTCATAGTATATATAACATTTTTAGCATTGGCTACATCACCGTATCTTGGCCTTGATCACATGAACAAATCTCGAGGAGCTCGTGGATCGCACGCTGCAGAGAAAGCTATTGTAATACATAACTAATAAGATGGGTCTGCTTGGTGTATGATAAAACGAAGATTTGCGCCGTTCGCCTACAAAGGCAGTAAGGCTTTGGAAAATGTCAGCAATTTTACGGAGCAGGTTACGGTTCATCTTCAGTCTCAGAACGTGTTTATATTTATATATATATGCCTATGTATTCTTATCACTCGTCCCATTTAATTCAAATCTCTCTCATGTCAGTGTTTCATAGTTTTGGATTCTCAGTTTTGTTTATTCGTCGCCCGAGTTCCACTTCGGTATGGTGTTGTATAGTCAGTTTCACAAATCATATCGGTGGCACTCGACAACTATTCGGAATGATACTATCGGGTTATGGATGCTACCTTATTTCGACGAAAACACTTTTTGCAAAGATTCCAATCACGTGCATCCTTGGTAACAAAATTTTCTCCGTCTGCACACTCCTTTGAACACCATCACCAGTGAAACAAGCTGTACAGAATTAACCAACTCTTCCAAGTGTTTTACTTTTATCACTGCTTTTCGAATAATCCGTATATGATCGATTACTTGCTTTCGTAAGTATTGTGTGTATGCGAAGTGAGCTACTTTAACACTTCTACTGATGAGATAAAGAGTGAATCTTTCTCTGTATTAAGAGCTCATTAGGCTTGTGTATGTTGATATATGCTAGTAATATCTTGTCTCATATACAAATGTTCATAGTTCTATCCTAAGGATCTAATATGTGTTCAGCGAGGTCGCTTCGTCTACTCGTTTCTTTACTCATCTATTCGCAAAGTGTTTGATTGTAAATTGTTACATTTGGTTTCCTCAACGCTAGAAGCTGTGCTACTTCGCTCTTTAAACTACTTTCACATTTTTTCTTTCTTGTGAATGAAGAAATGGAGTTATATTGAAGTCTTTCAGCAAAATATCAAGATTTACACATAAGATCTGTTAACGAGTCGTTTAATTGAGCCTATTTGTTGAAGGCTGTACTACCAGTGGTTTTGCCCATGTTGTTTCTATTGCTAGAAGTTTAATACATATAAGGAGAAGTTTTGATCTTCAAGCCCAGATTTAATAGGGTTTTTGTTTTTCGTCTTGTTTTCAGTTTCTGTGTTGTCATTTTTCAAATTTATCTTAGAGTACTCTCGCTCCCGATCCGTTCTAGAAACAATGGGGAACGGAGACGATATGCAATTTGGAGCAGTGCCTGTCATTGAAGACACAGTTGAGCTGAAGGTTGACCTTGAGACACGTAGATCTGGAGTTGAGAATGGAGATATGGATGTCGACAATAAGGAGGCAGATGCGGAGAACGTTGAGGTAGTCGTCTTAGTTTTTGTAGAATTGACAGCGGCGTTGATCGTTATTTGTTCAGGACATAGCTGCTTTCGTGTATTTCCTAGACTGACTAGTGAACTGTAATCTAAAAGTGCTAGATTTGCAAGGGTGTTCGCTGCGAGAGCCGCGCGGTTTTCCGCAATTCCAACTTTTTTGAGTGACGATTATATACTTTATATTTTCTAGATTGACATGGGCGAGGACTCAGCAAGTGAAGAAGATGATGAGTGCACACCTCCAGATGTTGCCATGGATGTGAATCCCACATGCGATGAACTGTGCGCAGATTCTAACAAAAAGTGTGAGCATCTTAAGTTTTGTCGCTGTTACTGTAAAAGTTAGCCAAAATTCAACAATGCAGATCTGTCTCAGTGTCAGTGTGATTACATGACCGAAGAGGAGGATGATCCTGACGATTTGTATAAACCGGAAGGAACTATATACCTTGACATCGATGGCTTTAGTCAATTTTGTGAAGGATCGTCTGAGACACAACAACGTCTTTCCAAACCCGTATTTGTTCGAGGTCTTCCATGGAAAATCTTAGCAATTCCTAGGTGATTTTATTCGGACGCTTCACATGCAGCAAGCAAAGTTCCTATGATATCCAGGGATGCCGCCCGAGTGGGAACTGGCACGCGACCGAACAAAGCTCTCGGTTTCTTCCTTCAGTGTAACGGAGATTCTGAGGCGGTTGCATGGAACTGTGTTGCATCAGCTTCACTGAAGGTATGCCTGGAATATATGGCTGGACTTTCCTCGTATCGAATAAGTTCTGTTGATTGCGTATGACAGTTGAGGAAAGCTAATGCCGTCCCATTTTTCATTGAGTTTTCAAAATAATTGAACAGCTTTGCAAAAGACTAACGTATGTAAATATGAGAAGAGATAATGTTTAGTATTTGGTTCTTATGCTCAACTGAAATTGTTATGAATCAAAGGTCATAACTTTATGTTTAGGTTCTGTGTCAGGTTGATGGTTTAGAAGATCACTCAAGGCGGATAACTCATACCTTTTATCCTAAAGAAAACGACTGGGGATACTCACAGTTTCTAACTTGCGATGTAAGATTTATTCAGTTCATTCTCATTCACCAACTTGCTTTGTTACAGCATTTGATGAACCCTGAAAATGGTTTCATTAAAGACGACACTATTCGCTTAGTAGTTCACGTATCCGCAGATGCTCCACACGGTGTACAGTACGTTCCCATTTAAGCAGTAGTATTGATCATAATTATGTGTCGATGAATGAATGAACTTCACATACTTTGACTTCAGGTGGGACAGTAAGAAACATACCGGTTACATTGGGCTGAAAAACCAAGGAGCTACATGCTATATGAATTCTATATTACAGACATTATACTTCACTACGAAACTGCGAAACGTAGGCTATTCTGATCGCACTTCGAGTCTCCCATAAAATGTTATAGGCTGTGTATGGCATGCCTGTAGCGCAGGATGATCCGGAAAGTAATGTAGCTTTGGCGATGCAGCGCGTATTCTACGACTTGCAGGTAATCTGTTGGAAGTTAGTTCTGGTTGTTCTAGCATCTAATTCAGCATTCTGACCGGCCGGTTGGAACCAAAAAGCTAACGAAATCATTTGGCTGGGACTCACTGGAAACCTTCATGCAGCACGATGTACAGGAACTCTGTAGAGTACTACTCGATAATCTTGAGAGCAAAATGAAGAAATCTTGTGTACGTGAATCGTCTAATCTAGAGTTAGAACCGGTCTAGCATCTTTATCCAGGTAGAGGACACAATCCCAAACCTATTTCGCGGTGTCATGAAATCTTACATACGCTGTACAAACGTCAACTTTGAAAGTAGCAAGGAAGAGCCGTTCTACGACATCCAACTGAATATCAAAGGAAAGAGCAACAGTAAGTTAAATCTGTCACATTGTAACCTGAGGAGTACGCCTGAAAAAAAAGATAAGCTGGTGTTACATGTCTGGAGTTTTGGAGTAACGTTCCATTCAAATATCATGCATTTTGACGTAAAGGCCAGTAAAGAACGTTTGTCAAGAATTGCTCGTAACTTAACAGTATACACTCCTTGTTTGGTCCAAAAAATAGATCTTGATGGTAAGTCTACGTAAATTTAGCGAGAAGAAACAGCCACAGCACGATGGGTCCATGCCGAGGACCTAAACACAAGAATAGAAATCTTGCAAATTCCGTAATCGGCTCCTCTTTTCAGTTATGCAGTCATTCCATGAGTACGTTCAAGTAGAACGGCTAGACGGTGAAAACAAGTACGACGCCGGTGATTACGGAATGCAACCAGCTGAAAAAGGAGTGAAGTTCGTATCCTTTCCGCCAGTTCTTCATCTGCAGTTGATGCGCTTTCAATATGATGCCAATCTTGACGCAAATGTGAAGATTAATGACAAGTTAGTGCGATATTGTTTGCACTTATCTACGCAAGATTTCAATCATTTTCAAGGTTTGCTTTTCCCGATAAGCTGTGTCTAAACGAATTTGTGGAAGGTAACGGCGAGGACTACACCTACTCACTACATGCTGTCCTGGTGCACTCCGGCGATTTCCACGGAGGTCACTACGTTGTGTTCATCAACACCGGTCTTAGACCGCCCGGAGAAAAGTACAAGCCCAAGGTATGGACAGCTACCATTTAGAACTTCGTCTGTGCACAATTATACCTTCTAAGTTCAAGCACGTGGCAGTATGAGTGGAAAAAACGTATTTTGCAAGCTCAGCTTCCGCAGCGGCCTCACTTAGCTCGCTATTTTTCGACCATAGATTTGAAGTCTTTAGTCATAGTTGCAGTTCTGATCAGGTTTGTTACAGACATTTGGTAGCGATCTGACCGCGAGCGGTTTCGGAATTTGTGAGACTAAACCATTTGGGTTGATAAGGCGCTGTATTTGAGAGCTAAGTAGGAGCTTATCAAGAAATATGACACACTTTTCATGTGGTCGATGTCCACGAATTTTGAATGCGTTGAGTCAAAAAGAGCTAACAGTATGCCAATGGTTTTGGTAAAAGTACTGCGCGTCATGACTGCACAATCCTTGAAACAACGCTTGAATACTTGTCCAAGCTTCAACAGGCCGATCTAATGTTTCAGTGGTGCAAATTCGACGATGACGTAGTATCGCGAGCTACAGTTAGGGAGGCTGTGATGGCTAACTATGGAGGAGATGATGGAGAATCTACTGGTAGAACATACACGAACGCTTATATGCTTGTTTATGTGAGACAGACTTGCATAGGTATGAACTGTCAGTATCTTAAGCTAGTAGGTAGTTCATATTTGTCTAAAATTTTTTTGCTCAGTATTTATAATTTAGATGATGTGCTTTGCCAGCATGAAAATGTACAAGTTCCTGCACATTTGGTACAGAGGTTCGAGAATGAAAGAGAAGAAGAAAATAAAAAGAAAAAAGAAAAGCAGGAGGCGCACTTGTACACAGAGATTGTGGTAAGTTTTAGACCAACCGAGATATTTTTCTTCTTCTACATCAACGCTGCATGAACGGAAATGGTTTTTGTCTACGAGTTTGTTCTTATGTGTACGGTTTAGACCGTGAAAAGAGCTTTAGTTTCACCGGACTTCTACATATCCGTTATATTTTTGAGAAAATTGGTACCCTATTTTCAGGTGTATAAGCCGCACTTTTTCAAATTTTCGCCCGGGCTGCTCGCCGCTCCATTGTGTTTCGAAAAGCGATTCTTAAGCCGCACGATTATATCAGGCAATACGCAGCACAGTATAGAGTCCTTCGATTGCGAGGTCATTTGATGTGTTCGGGCTGGTCGATGTAAGCTAGGACCACCCCGCGGCTTATACACCTGAAAATAGGGTAGTATGAATGCTACATGAGAGGCCGAATATTCTGATGCTGCATTGCTTTTCACTTACAGATGGTGACAGACGAGCATCTCGCCAGCTACAATGGCTTTGATCTGGTTGATCCCAAACTCTTGGACGATTCTGGCTTGCCAAGGGAAAAGATTGAGAAAGGCATGACTATACCACAGTTGTATGACTATGTGAAGCATAAGCTCTTCTCCAGTGAAGATGATGTAAGTTGTCTGTGAGCCGGCTGTCGTGAAACTAGTGTGTCCTTTAAAGGTCCCTGCCCGTGAGATATTTCGCATCTGGAAGTTCGAAGAGACTACGTACAAAGATGAAGGAAGCATCATGTCAGCCCTGCCTCGCTTGCGTCCAACATCACTGGTGAGTAAAACCATCTATTCGAGTAGCTCAAGCTCAACAGCTCTTTTAAGATACCGCACTCTGAAGAGACTCAAGAGAAAACGCTTGAAGCTGTTCTGGAAAACGACCGAAATCTTCTGTACATAGAAACAACTGTTTCAAGCTCACTGAGGAGTTACAACGAGAATTGTAGGTTTTCTCAACACTTTCTCTTTCGCGACGTGATTAAAAAATTAATTGCGAGTTAGTTGCTTGAATGGTTTGACCTACTTTTCCAGCGGAAATGCTGATGTTTCTCAAATACTACGATGAGGAATCACGCTCTCTACGATACGTCGGTCATTTTATTGTCGCCTATCGTCAGTGCATGTCAGCGTACACCAGTGAATGCCTGAAACTCATCGGACTTCCGGAGGGCACACCTCTGCGCTTTTATGAGGTATGTGTTGAGACATTTCGTTTCCTTTTGGTAATATCGTATGATACGCTTATTCAGGAAGTTGCGCCTGATCGTATCCGATTGATAGAGAGCCTTGGCAAACCACTATGTGCTGACAATACAGTTGTCGAAGTCAGTGATGGAGGCTTGTTGATTGCTGAAAGAGCGGACAGAACGAATGAGACGAACAACGCAAAGCTGCACCTGGATACGCTGTATAACACCATTGACATCGAGGCTGTCGCCAATAACGACTCATTCGTATCAAGTCATGCCGAAATAGATCCGCCAATTAGTGGAACAATTGGACTGGTGAGTTACTTTTGCAGTCGTTATTGCAGAGTTTTATGGATGGCTCAGTTTAGAACTGGACCATGAGGCAGCTGGTTGACTACATCGGTAAAGAGATCAACTACGATCCCGCAAAGATTCTTCTGTGGCGAGTTTCACCTTTCAACGATCGACCAACTCAGTTTCTCACCGATGCTCAGTGTAAAGTAGGTCGTTGCCGTTCATTAACTTCCCTTATTTTATTGTCTTCTCCAGGTTTTGCGTGTGAATGGATTACTTGGATTGGCAGGTGCCCAGCTTCATGACCCCAGACGCAACAAAAGGTAAAGATTTTCTTTGCTTCTTCCTGTATTATTTGAAACTTTTCATGGTTTTCTGATTCACTTTGAAGGTATCGTGTTGTTTATACAAAAATGCCGATTCCAATCGCTGACATGGAACGGAAGCGACAGATGAAAATTCAGATGATGGACGAGAAAATGAACATCACTGTAAGCGATCATTCTCACTTACATTTGTTGTATTCCTAAGGATCTCCGAACTTTCAGGAAATAACGATATTCCCTGAAAAAACGGGTACGGTGCGTGACATCTTGGAAGAGGCGAAGCGTGATTTCAAGTTTGCTGCCAACGGCACTGGAAAGCTTAGGTGAGCATAACTAGCATGTTAGAATTGTACGGCGTACTATTCGATTTTTAATGTTATTTTAGGCTCGTATACGTTGGGCAAAGCAGCCAGAGCATGCGCGCGTACATGATTTTCAAGGAGGAAACATCGGTAATGGAAGTCTTCCAGAAAACCATGACGCCGTCCATGTATATGGTAAGGTGTTTCCTGGCTACTTTTACTTTCAGCTGTGATTTTTCGTGTGTTACCAGTTATTTCTCAATCTTCGCAATTACCCTACAGGGCCGCGTTGAAGAGGTTCCGCAGGATCAACTGGTGGTCAAGAGTAACGAATATCTCGTGCCTATAGCTCATTTTGATAAAGATCCAGGGCGAATGTTTGGGGTGCCATTCTTTTTGAAAGTAGGTATTTGCGGTTTATTTTTCCTTTCGGATACCATACATATCGTACTATCAGGTCTCAAACGATGAGCTATTGTCAAGCGTTCGCGAGCGTATCCAAGCTAGATTGGATATTCCGGATAAGGAATATGAGAAGTATAAATTCGCGCTCATCTCGTCCTCAAGAGTTGTGAGATATCTGGATATGACATCAACTGGAAGGGTGAATCTCGCTGAACTTGGACATACTCATGTTGCATGTGAGTTACCATCATTTTTGCATTTTTGCCGTATTTGTCTTCCGCTCGGCTTGACCATATTTGTTAAGCATTGGCTACGTCGCCGTATCTTGGCCTTGATCACATGAACAAGTCTCGTGGAGCTCGTGGATCACATGCTGCAGAGAAAGCTATAGTAATACATAACTAAGCTAGGATGGGTCTGTACTATGGTGTAGTTAAAGAAGATTTGCGCGTTCGATGCAGCGACATTAGGGCATAAAGTATGTTAGCAATCTTACGGAGCAAGTTACGGTTCATCTTATGCTCTAAGACGTGTTCATATCTATATTTAGATTCTTCTCACTCATCCCATTTCACAAAAAAATTTCTCACAAGGACGGTGTTTGTTGTTTTGGATTCTTAGTGTTTATTTTCATTTCCCGACTCCCACTTAGTTCTGATCTGGTTGTATAGTCATTTCCAAAGTTCGATGGCCCTCGATAACCAGAGTGATACTATCGGGTTGAGAATGTCACCGCTTTCCGATGAAACCCTTTTGCAATTTTGTGAAAAAAAATTCAACCTCGTCTATACTCAGCGTCCATATTTTTACATCTTCGCACTCATCTTGTACGCCATCATCGGTGAAACATCTTGTACTACAATAGGTTGGTTTTCTTCATCTATACTAATGCTTTTTGAAACACTGGATTTAAGCGGTTCAGCTTGGTTTGTAGTGTGAGTGGCCGTGTTCTGCACTGAGTCGTGTAATGAATCGAGAATCTTGAATAGTCTAACGTAATTGTTAGCTTGTATGTTGTAATATATACTGTCCATCTACGTTTCATAATTCATCTTGAATCTAGTGTTCATTGACGAGGTGGCCTCACTTGACTGCTTTTCAATTTGCAACGCGAGCTTTGATTGTGAATTACTTGTTCCTTTCTTGACATTAGTATATGATTTGCCATTTGCGCTATTGTCGATTTATTGTCTTTATGTCTATGTTTGTGATTGGAATGGAGTTTGGTACTTTGTTCATAGAGGTTCCACCAAAAGGAGAGAAAAGAAGTGTCACATTTATCTATGATCCTGTCAGAGACGGATATGCAGAGCATGGATTTAAGGGGGCCTATTAGTGTGTTTGGTGGATTCCTGCGATTTTGCTGTGGTAGAAATTATCTGCTTTTTCACGTCACATGCAAGTTCGCCTCGGGCTACCAGAACTAACGCTATTTCAAGAAAACGTATGAATCTGTATTGCTTTACCACGTAAACGACATTGGTAATCACCTAATCAATTTTTGTGTATCACTTGTGTATGACTTTTACCTTTCTCTAAATACGAACATCGTCTGAATTTGGGAAATGATCGTCTGTACCCTTTCATACCAATGGTTTGTGCGTGGATAATGTAGATGTTCACTTGTGTTAAAGGCACAGAATAAAGAATAGCGGGTTGCCCTCATAATGTTGTGCTTTGGGTGCATATATTGAAAGCCTGGTGTTTTTTGATGTTAGAAGCGGAATAGAAGTACTCAGAGACAAAAAATTTGTTGAAAGCGTCTTGTAAACAGAAATGAAGATCGGTCCATAATTATACGAACACCTCATATTTTGCCGTTCCTCGAACTTTTTGAAAGAAAAGCAAGAAACCATTAGTACCACGTGAAAGAACGAGTTAAAAACTGTATGCGCAGCACAAAAGTGAAATTCGGTGTCAATCTTGGAAAAGCATTGTGCGCCGAAGTTTTTTTTGATCGGTCCATAATTATACAAACACCCCAGTCAGAGATCTTTCGTTCGATGCCGCAACCTTTAACATTCAAAATCTGTAAGGCTATGAACCTGGAAGTGTGAAATACCTACTACGCACTCGACCTGATAAACTATGAAAAGGGGAGCTTTACCCTACTTCCATAGCTCGAAATGGCTGCGGACCAAGTCGGTCCCGAAAATGCTGCTGTGTAGAGATTTCAAACCTTTATTCAGCTCAAACGATTAAGAAGAGGGACCAATAAGTGTGCGGTCTAACTCTCAAAAAATATTGATGTGATCGTCCCAGTTGCCAACCCTTCCCAAACTAACCCCTTGGTGAATCTGGGACTGAGTTGGCAACCGGGACGATTACATCAAAACTTTTTGAGCTAGAGCGCACATTTATTGGCTCCTCATTCCTTAACCGTTTGAGCTGTATAAAGGTTTGGAATCTCAATAAAGCAGGCATTTTTGGGGCCGACTTAATGCGCTGCCATTTCGAGTTATGGGGTAAAGCTCCCCTTTTCATAGTTTATCAGGTCCAGTGCGTAGTAGGTACCTCAGGCTTCAAGTTCGTAACCTTACATGAGATTTGGAATGTTAAAGGTTGCAGCATCGAAAGAAAAAAGCTCTGACTGAGGTGTTCGTATAATTATGAACCGGTCGAAAAAGAGTTCGGCGCACAATGCTCTTCCAAGATTGACACCGAATTTCACTTTTGTGCTGTGTATTGTTTTCGGCTACGCTCTTTCACATGATACTAATGGTTTCTTACATTTCTTTCAAAAAGTCCGAGGAACGGCAAAATATGAGGTGTTCGTATAACTATGAACCGATCTTTACATAGGAATCAAATTACGTCAGAGCATCTTTGAAGTTTACGCAAGCCTTTGAATAATTGGCAAATTAAGTCTTGACAGGTACAGTGTATGTAGTAGTGGCGGACCGAGGGGGCGGGACGCTGGGTCTCTCCCCCCCCCCCCCTCCCCGAGAATGGGTGGCGACATTTTCGAAAGTTGATTACACTACAAATATGTGCAAGTGATTTATTTACACTTGTATATAATTGAAATAATTTTTCAGAATTTTTAAAAAAATTCAAATTAGCCTTGCAAAGAAATTTTTCGGGGAGTGGCCGCCGTCACGCCCCCCCCCCCCTTTTCTTTTTTTCGAGGTCAGAGGCCCACGAAAATTTTGGGAAGCATCGCAAAAAGTCTTTCGGAGTGCGTGGCTAACGCCACGCATATTCATTCGAAACTTCATTTGTCGCTCCTCCCCCCCCCCCCTCCCCCCCCGCCTCCCCGGAAGGAAATCTTGGGATTGTTACTGGTATGTAGTGATCAAGTTCGCTTCATGTCTTCAAGGAATTCGCTTCTATCAGACAAAATGTACATTATGATATAGTAAGCCCCCATAAATTACTGTGAAGTAAAAATCCGTTTAGAAATATACTTACAGGTATTTGATCGTACAAATGTGTACGCCGCATATTGAGCTTCATAAATACAAGTGTGCGAAGGAAAAACAAAGTTATGATATTGATACATTTTCAGGTATTTTCATCAAGTAAATCAAAAATAGGTGCTTATCATCACATCATTACTACACAGAGGATTTAGCAACTCAATGTTTTTGTTTCTGCGCGTTTAAGTCTCCTTTCAAAATAATGACGCACAACATCTGCAAATTTTCTGCTCTTATTTTTTTTGTGATTTGCAAACACAGTTGCTAACAATAGTAATTCAAGGTTTTCTCTACATTGTGAACAAAATTCAAAATATTCCAAGTAAATCCGGCTATGTAAAAACTGCAAACTAAATATTATTCTCGTGCTTTTTAAAGGCCAGTTTGATTATTTCAGCTTTAGAAATACAAATGGCAGTCATTTTGGCATCGTAAAATTATATGTTACGGGGTTTGGTTGCAGCAAGCTGTTACATGAATTCGATATCAAAATCATCGCAGATTCGTAAATCGCAGTACTAATTCAGGCTCCTGGACTTTTGACGCACCTTATTGATACCGTCAAGCACTTTTCATGTACACGAAATGGTGAGCTGACGTCTGAAGCGGACGAGAAATAATGAAACTCTGTCAAGGTTAGTCATATGCTCTGATTTAGTCCACACGGAACTTCGCTTCTGACGAAGCGAGCTCAGAGATGTGAGTATGTACAATTTGAGCATTGCTTTATACTTACAAGTACTCTTAAAAGTCCTACCGTGTGTGTGACAATTGTCTCCAAATGTTGTCAGTGCATCCGTTACCCGTAAAGTCATAGAATTTCATTTATTGCGCGATTACTGGAGAGTTATAAGCAGGGCTCGGCACAGGCGGCTTACAAGCAAGCTGGATATCGTTTTTGGGACAAATAGCAAACGGGTTTCGTTTTTTGGCCTAAAATACAAAAATTTGCGACTTTTCATTTTCATTTTCATCTAGACACCTCGTGCCGAGCCCTGGTTATAAGTGTTAGGTCAGACAAAGCTTTCAAGGCATTTCTCAGCAAATGTCGTGCTCAAAGTTTCGGACAGGGGCGGTGGAGGGGGCGGGGGGGGGGGGGGGGGGGGGAGAAGGAGGAATGACATTTTCTGAAAGAAGCTCCCTCTAAAAATTTTGGGATGCTTTCCGAATTTTTTTTGGGCTGTAGCAGAACTATTGAAAGGGTTAGCACCATGTCTCGTGAATTTTCTCTCAAGCTACTTTGATTAGAATATCACTCTTATTAGTGAGTAATTAGAAGTCATTTGCACAGTTTTATAACTTATGTGCATCACTTTTGGATCCAGTATTCCATAATTTCACTCATCCGTTATTATCCGCAGCAAAACAAGTAAAGCTTATGACCTTTGCACCAGGCATCCCACTAATTAGGTAAACTTTAGGTAATCAACAATTCATTGTGACTTTTTTTTTAACATCAGTTTTTCTAACCTGTTGTACTTGCTAAGAGCCTCCTACGTCTTCATATTCAATCCAAACCCATATTGTGTATCCATCTCCACAGCTCCGAGAGATTTTGGGATGCAAAAGTTTCCGCTTCTGTGAACATACTTATGAAGGAGCGGCCACGGAAGCAAATAGAAAATGGCTCAACATTTGCACGGCTAAGTACAAGTACACAGCTAACTGTCCTTAGAACGACTCCTTAAGCACTTCCTGTAATCGACAAAAATCACAATGCACTTATTTTTACTCTTCGCTTCAGTTGAAAAAAATTTACCTTAGTCTTTCAATGAGAAAGAAATAGAGTTCGTTTGGCTCTTGAATATAGAGTACATAGTCAACTAGATTCAACCAACTACCTCAAAGATTTTCCTCTTTTTTTGAAAAATCACCCTTAAATACCTGAAAGCTTAGACGCGACCTATTAGTTGTTTAACGAACTACTATGTACATTTTCTGAGCCTATGTCCAAGTCTTAGCGTTCAAAAATTATGTGGCAGGAAGATGTGCTTGTTGCTAAAGGTTTTTGGGAATGAATATCTGATTAGTCATTCATGACAAAAAAGATCTAAATCAAGGAACACGATTATGTCGTCTGATCAACATTCGTCAGCTAATGTTCTCCGCTAAATTGATGGATCGAAAAAAGCGAAAGAAATTAACAGGAGAAGCTAAAGTGACGCGCAAATGGGAAAACTCCGAACTTTATTGCTGGATTCTAACGAAATTTGGGGCCATCCTGCCAATCCGCCGACTCCCTCGATTTGCCAATCAACAATCTTCTTGCGAATTGGTATCTTAGAAATTATTTATCTTATTGCAAAGAGCTGCAGAAGCTATTAAACTAATCCTCATGTCAACTAGCCTTTTGTAATTGCACTATTTTTGATTTGCACCGGCAACTGTAAATTCAGAAAGTGCGACAAATTTTTCTGCTTGTTATATGGTTCCACTATATTTTCTCATTCATGATAGTGGGGTTATCGCCACTAGAGTCTGCTTTGCTGCAAATTGAAATTGTGCAGTTACACAAAACGAGTTCTGGAATAAGGACTACAGTATATGACATCCCCAGCACAGACGTCGGTAGCAGGCACATTTTATCTGTTACACTTATTCTATTTTTCTGACGAGCTCATAAGCCGCTCCGGACACACAGAATTGCCAACATGATGTATTGTGTCAGATTTGCTATATGTGGATCTTCAACAATGAAGAATGGTCTAAACAAATGTGGCTGCACAAAATGAAGTTTTTGCTGTCGATTCTTAGTATGAGAGCAATTGACGATTAGGAGAACAATTGACAAACGGCTTATAAGCGTCAAGTGTACAGGAAATTGGCTGAACGTTTTTCTTTGAGAGCATGGGAAGCTCAAAAAATTCTACGGTGCTAGACACTTCAAGTATTAATCCGCCGCAAATTAGAGATCGATCGAATCAGGTGCTCGAATTGTTTGAGGATTGAGGTTGTTATTCGATCTAATCTATCCTTGGCGTCATTCTTATGTCAGTATAGAATGGCCTGTTATTTAATCCTCCAATGGTGGATAACTTACAGAAACTATGACGATGATGACAAGAACGTTAAACAAAAAACATGCAAATTTGCCCTAGTCTATCATTTAACACGAGCGGTCGAGAAAGAAGTCCACTACAGTTTTCCAAATGAAATTCTGTGGAAAATATTTGGTTTCGTTTTTGTTCTGCTATGTCACGGCTGGATGACAGTTTTTTACTCTGAATTCTGACTCACGCTTTTCGCAGAACTTTGCATTTTCTACTTTTTGTGGTTCCATTGCGACTGAATTTCGTTTTCCTCTCTTGGGTCAGACCCATGTTATACGGCTCAAAATTCTGTAGAGCTTAATAAGCAGTTTTATCGATGTGCTTATGGTGATGGCCTTTGCACGATGTACTGATGAGAATAGGAACAGAAACAAATTGATGTACAGGGTATGTATAGCTATATATAGCTTGTTCATTGCATAGCCTGTATGCACTTAGAATTTTGCGCGGGCCACATTTTTTTGCAACCTCCAAACTTTACTGATAGCACATGTTGGTGAATGGAATCTACAACTGAATAAGCTCGATTGTTGCCAATTTGTGTCACCATGCTTTTCGTTGACATTATTTTCAGTTTTTGCCTTACTGTACGTCCCATTAGCGTTTAGCGACGAATGACAGAACACGCTCCGCCCTCCCGTACCGTTTTCACCGCCATGTTTTCCTTCGTTTGTGGTCCGAAGCGATAACATGGACGTCTCAAGCGAAATTTCAGTGCGATTGCATGAACGCGCAAGTTCCATGACTTGCGCCACCAAACCCCAAGATATGAATCGGGATAAGCAATCGTTGCATCATCGGGGATGTAGTCTGACCTGGATTTTATCGTCAGGGGGGTGCTATTTCGGAAAGGGCGACCGAAGTAGGTCAGAGGCCGGTTTGGACGGGGTTCGGGCGTTGGGCCTTGACCCGCCCCCCGCCGTCGTTCGCCTTCCGATCCCACCCTCGTCGGCTATTCACATCTGCTGCAGGCAGACGATCATTGAAGCAGCAGCATCAGTAGCCGCGTCCGCATGTCCGCAGCTCTGATCCTCGTGGCCGTCGTCGGCCTGTTCGCTGGCCAGGCGCTTGCGCAGGATGATCCCACAATGCCGGTCGTCATCCGGCTGCCGCCTATGTCCACTAAGCCTAGGTTCCTCTCCGAGGTTCGTTGAGTCCGTACTGTCATCATCAGGCTCAAACATTATGGTTCAGGTCTCTGCACCACGTGCAGTTCAACCTCCAGTAGTCCACTCGCCGCCGGCTAATCCTTCCCCAGCCGTGGTCCCTGCAGCGCAACAAGTTCGTTTTTTTTCGCGACCATGTAAAATACACCAATTATTTTGACCAACTAGCCGAATTTCAGCCGCTGCCTCCATCACCACCGGCGGCACAGCAACCAGTTTTCCAACAAACTGCTCCTCCTGGTAGCCAGCAGTTTGTTCCAAGAACAAGTGGCAGCGTGCCACCACCACCACCAGTCACTATCCCTCCAGATGTGCAAAATCAGCTGATCAAGTTCTTTGGATTAGATTCTTTCGGAATTCCAGGTCTCACCGGAAATCATCCCAATGGTTTTGCTGGTGCCGTCCAAGTGAGTGGATTTGAAAGCACGACAGAGAGCAAAAGGTTATATTGTTCCATTACAGGAGCTGAGAGCAGCAGGAATTCCAGTACAGGGACTCCCAGCAGAACATATCAATGGGAACGCTGTTTCCCATGCTGCTCCTACTCAACAAGGTAGAGTTTATTAGTTTACTCATAATTTACTCATTTTTGCTGATTTTTAGTATCTGCCGACGTTCTCGCGCAGGCCAACCCCAAGTTCCAAGATCAACTAACGCAGCTCGTAAACGAAGCTCGTAACTCGGGCCCCTTCGAAGGAAATGGTGGTCACGTCCCACTTCCTGCAGACAAGCCAGGAGAGAATGGCTTGATCGGATTGTTATCAAACTCTATTCGTAAACTAGTCAAAGAAAGTAAGTTTCTGCATAAATTTCTCGCCGACTTTCGTTCAAGCAGTTTTTCCAGCTGGTGTATCTGATGCTTTGTCACAATCGTTGCCATCACTTTTGGGATCTAACCATGCTTCATCTTCTTCCGCTGCTGCTGCTCGACATGGGGCCTCATCTTCCTCATCATCAGTTGATGGTCCGGTGGTCTCACAATCCGTGGACGAGAACGCTATCACCAACCAAATTCGTGGAAAGGACATTCGTAGACAGCCCTCGACGGCTCAGAGAGCACTATCTGGAATCTCGTCCTTCCTCGGAGGAGGTGAGCTTTTGCGAAAAGAATAAGCAAATAGGATTTCTCATAATAGCAGTTATGGAAGCATTTTTTTCTAGGAGGCGGTAATACTCCAACTCATGCTGGTCTCCCAAGAATCCCTGGTATCCCTCTCTTACCTGGTGGCATTCCTCGCAACGCTCAGGGACAAATTGATGTCGTCAATCTCATTGGTAAGATTCGGTTTGTTGTTCAGTATTTTCGTTTAGCTGTATTTCGACATTTTGCAACATATCTTGTGACTGCGAACAACAATTAAGAATGTGTGTTAGTGGCGCAACGGAAACATTCAGGTCACTGTCGCCGTATAGTGCGCAGCGAGCGATTTATCAATTGACTGTTTAGAAGATTTGGAATTAGTGCGAAAACCTTGAGAATTTTGACTATGTAGTTTTTTTTAGGATCAATTACTCGTCGTCTATCTAATGGTACTACTCTGGCTGATATGCTCCCACCTGAGCAGCTGCAGACTTTGGCCGATAACGTTACGGATGCTTTACTTCCCGAGACTCCTACTGACTTCGATCTTAGCAAATTCATGGGCAGATGGTTCGAGGGCATCAATTCACCTCGAGCTACCGAACAACGATGTGTCGTGCATCATTGTAAGCACTTCACTAATCCTGATACGGTGTCCTAGTCGTGAAGGAACTTTTTGCTTCCTTGGGCTACTGATATCCTTAGCAATACCGATTTAGATGGAGGACTGACCAAGAATGACAAGACTGCCACATTCACAGCACTGAAAATCTACAGAGAAGGATCTGAATTCGGTCCTGTTAGGTATTCCATCGGCTATGCTTTCCGAGGAGGAAACAAAGATGCTATGCTTCAGCTCCACACTAGTGAAAGCAGTGATGCTCAACCATGTAAGTCATAGAAATCTTTTGAGATCATTATGCAAATAAACAAGCTGTCTTTGAACTATTATCTTCCAGTCTGGATCTATAAACTTGGACCAGATGGCAAAGATCCATTTGGAAATCCACAGTACGAATACGCAATCGTGTCCAATTGGGTACGGTATCCGGTTACAGTTCTCGTGAGGGATCCTGATACTTTCAAGGCTAAGTATCAAACTGAGGTGAGTAATTATTAAGTACTGGTCAATGCACGGTGACCTTCTAGTTGACTATCGCACCTAATTATCGCGTAAACAGGGGATTGTAAAACCAGTGACTTAATCGCGGTGATACGGTATGGGCGGGGCGCGCGACTAGCGCGGGAAATTGGTGGAGTACAAAGATGGGATTTCTGTAAAGTTTGCTAAGACATATGATGAAAAACAGATTTGTGCAGGCAGTCTAAACTATTGAATGTATAAAGTTAAGGGATCTACTTATGTAGGACTAATGTTTGCGTAAATATGAAAAGCTTAAAAGAGTTACATTCAAGACCATTATATTGCTCCTTATCAGGTACTACGCTGGCTCGAGGATCAAGGATTTATCAACGGTTTTATCCGAGCATTTAATCTTCTCCAACCATCCGGCTACTCAAGCTGTCAATATGCTGATAGCACATTCGAAGTGTTCGGAAAGTAGCTGCTCGCTTCAGATGCCATCTCTCAGTGACGACCTCTACTACATTCCACTCTCAAATGCTGTACATTATTATGCTAATAATTATTGTTGTTTCTATTGTTTCTGTGTATCAGAAAATAAAAATGATGAAAACTTAGAAATGCTTTGTGTTAGTGGTTACACTGCTCAAAAGGAGCAAGAGGAGAGCGGAAAATTAGCGTGAATCGCTTGAGACTGTGAGTATGGGTCTATGGGTCTGGAAAACGGTAGTTAACTGCTAATTGACAGCGATAACACCTTGACCTACGACCGGTTGCCTGTATGTACTTGATGACGGCTGGAGCGAATCAGGGCTTTGGGTGGTCGAGTCGAGTCCCACGGATCGCCGCGAAGGTCACACAGTCAGGCAGTCGTCGCGCAGCCATGCTCGGGAACACCCTCGTCCTAGGTCTCCTCCTCTGTCCAGCATCCATATTCGCTATCGGAGAAAATGCGGTAAGCGATAGATACTTATCTGACTCGTACGTACATCGTTCCATCATCAGATAAGAGGTAAAGAATGCATAACGCAAGTCTTTGACGCGGGTTCAGACAACTATGCCTTTAGAGCGCAGCTGAACCAGAAGTCAAACCCATAGCACTTTTAAATCCTGTGGCGGAGGAAATGAGATAACCAGAGACTATGTCAAACATATCTAATTTTGTCACTGTATACTTTACAAAACGCTATACTTGAAACAATTTTTCGATATATATATCTATATCTTCATGTCTCGGATACGCTACATGGTGGTGCTCACGGCTATTCTAGTTGCATAAGAAATCGCTGGTTTCAAGCTAAATGAGGAAAGAAAAGCAGACTCATACGGTTTATCTCTTATCAGATTAAAATCAGCCCATGAATGCTCGTTGTAGTCACTTTTGTTTTTTGGTTATGCGTACCTAATATCCTTCTAGCAGCCGTAGGCGTACGCGATTTTTAAATTTTCAGTTGACTGGAATATATTTTAATGTAATTTATGAAATTCCAAACTCTCAAAAATGCGTTTTTATAAAAATCACACCTGCCTTTTTTAGTACCTGAAAGAAACAAAATTTTGTCAAAATTGTTGTTCTCCGTTGCTGATAGAAAAATTTTAACACCTTCAAATTTTTCTTGATTTTTACCCACTAAGCGTGTACATCGTTCAGATGGACATCAATACGATCACTGGTATTATTGGCGGTATTGGACGAATGCTGGAAACGACTGTTGACACTATTAATGTACCGTCCGAGTTGATAATGGGACGCTGGTTCCAGGTTGGTAAATATGCTCTATTTGCCTAGTTATGGTCACTTCCATGTTATGAATAGATGAGGAAGAATTTTGAATTGTACGACTTTGTACTTTAACGAATCTATGAGGATTTTGCATTCCTAGCACCTTATCTTCAGATGTACAAAGCAGCCATCAACTTTGACGTGTTTCGTACTCAAATGTTCTGCCCGGTCGCTTACTGTAAGTTTGTTTTTAACCTGTCCTAAATTCGTGACATATATCGAGATCTCTTTAGTGATGAAAGAAAGAATTTATTATCTTGTGATTCTGATTGCCCGTTACAGTTTCGCCAAACCCTATTATGGGAGAGGACGGATTCTCAATGGAAGAGGCTTACAGAACAGTGTCAAAGACGGGACCCATAGAAACGTATAAGAGAGACATGAACAAAGTCGGACCTGGCCAGTATTGGATGTATACTGAGGAGTATTTCTACCCCAGACAATGTGAGATCTGTTTGAGACGTACTGAATAAGTAGAAAAAGCTCGTTATTCGCAGTTTACATCATCGCCGCTGGCCCAGCTTTCGACAATGAGACGAGAAAAGCTGACGAACCTCTACAGTACATGGTTGTAACGGATGCTAACCGCTTGTCACTTATGGTTTACTCCCGAGACCCACACATCTTCTTCCAGGTGAGGCAGTGGTCTGGTTTTGTCAGTTTAGGACAACTTGACACGTGTTTTGCTCGTAAATTCCCACCAGAAAGGCCAACAATCAGTATCTTTTTCTCGATAGCGAAGTGGGAAAATCAAGTTTCTAGGACCGATGTAATGACCGCGTTGACCCGCTCTCCCGTAACTTCGTTTGCAACGTGCCCACCTTGCGCAACGGTGCTCGTTGACAGCGTCGTAGAATGCGCACAGAAGGAAAAAATCTAGGTCATAGCGTGAAATTTAGACGGTTGCATAACCTTCAGTGACCCAAAGTCAGAAACTTCACGCGGTACGAAAACGAAAATCTGGGCTAGTGACACCAATTTGGGTGCATAATGCGCATGTGATCTCATCGGTAGAAAAACTAGAAAACGAGAAGTTGGCTAAATCTGATCATGTTTTTGTAGAAGTACAACAAGGATGTCCTCGAATTTATGGAGAAGAAAGGTTTCGGAGGTCGAGTGTTTTGGAATAGTCCACGTCCAATTTATCAGGGACCAGACTGTGAATGGCCATCGGAGAAGGAAGTGTTTGCTCGAAGGTGAGATTTGGTATTTCTCTCCATTGAAAAACAGTTTTTCAAAATTATTTTATATGCCAGAGCATAAGCAACCATTGTCAAAACTAGATATTCTCTAATTTGAAAGTTCAAGGACAAACAAAGTTTTATGGAGCACCCTACTTCTTTGAAGAGAAACAACTTGAATTTTTCTTGCTTTGATCAAGGCGGCAAAATTTAATCGACATAAGTTTTCTTGTCCTGTTTCCATTTTCTTTTAGCAGTTTATAAGTGAGCAGTTCAAAACGTAGTCAAAATACCCCTCCGTAGGTTTCTCCTAATTCAATCTCGTTTCAGAGTCTTGAAGAACCAAGAACTAGCCGAGCGAAGCAAAAACGGTACAGCCGAGCCAACAATGTCCGGCATGCCTTTGGCGGACATGTTGCGTGATCCAAAGAAGACTCTCGAGCGGCTGGTCGGCACTCAAGGTCACTGAATCTCACCCCCGTCTCTACTCGCCACGACTCACTGACCTCGTTTCGCCGGGTTGATCGCCGGGGTCCACCCGCCCCCCGACATCTCGTCGCCGTTACCGTCACCGTGCCGCTGCTGCAGCCGTCGCCGCTACCGCCTCCCGCACTAACCGCATAATATCTCTGTTTGTGTGTCTCTGTATCTCGCAATAAATCGTGTCATAAAGGGCATTCACCTCGTCGATCCTGCGCTATCGCGTACATCCACACCTATCCGTTCCCTTCTTAGAGCACAGTCCGCTAACGTCAGTCGGTAATGCAGTGGCTGTGTGTGTTGGTCGGTGCCGTGGCCATCGTCTCGCTGGTCAGGTGCCAGCACGACGCCTTCGCCCTTCCGCAGGCCCCTCGCTTCGCCCCGAAGCCCACTGTGCCACCCGAGTATTCCTCATTCTTCGAACTAGACGGGCACGCCCGTGAGCTGGTCGACTCGCTGCTGGGCCCGCGCCCCGGCGGTCTATTCCCTGAAAAAGCGTACGAAATTGGCACACCATCCGAGCCAATCACCAACAATAAGCCAGTTCATGTGCCGTCGACGTTGGAGAGGACACTCGAGCAGTTTTTCACTGCTCCCGAGCCAGCCAGTGGGCAGGCCCTGCCTCCTGGCTTCGGTTCAGGATTTTCGCTTCTGAACAATAACAAGCCAGTCACTGGGTTTGGCTCAAATACACGTAGGGCTCCACAGGTAGGTATAGCAATGAGTGACTCCTATGCAACTTGTAACACTTCTTCACGAGTATGGTTCCATAACTATAAATCACCTTAAGAAGCAACTATCATGTGTTAAGACATTAGTGCCTCCAATTTAACCTGTAATAGAAAATGAAAATTGGAACCAACTCAATCACATCATTTCGCCGAACAATAAGATTTGTTATGCTGTTGATTAATGTTTAAAATCGAAATGACGAATCCATCATCTAGTTCAAAACTTCGAATCATTTATGATGGATGAAAATCATAAATGCAATCGAACGTATTGACGAATCATCATCGAATAAAATACTTCTTCCGCTATACTGTATCAGTGTTTATTTACACATAAGAACACACCCTTTCGTTGCCATACTTCTCTTTGAAGAAAGATACTTGCTGTTAGGATTTTGCTCTTGAGAAAAGAACAAAAATTCGAAGTGTTCAGTTTGAGAAATAGCAAAGTACATCATTTGCAGAAACAGACCAAGGAGAGCAAGGATAAGGATGAGTCCGTTGAGGGATCTGGCGAAGCTCCCAAGAGCTCTATTGGGGGTATCCCTAAGGTGCAAAGACTCTCCCACTATCTCCTACCATTCTCAAGTTTAACGTTCAAGGTGTTCCCGAAGCTTCCCAAGGCTCCAATTGTTCAGCCACAATCCCTCCGAAGTAGAGAGGCTATCGTCATTGATGACGCTCCAGCACTGCCACAGATTCCAACTGCTCCGGAGGTTCTTTGCCTCTAAAATTCTTATTTCTCCAAAAAGGATAAAAAATTTTCAAGGTTCCCGAAGGTGGATTCTTGCCAGCTGACATTCGACGGTCACCACAATCTGTGTCGAATGTTGCTTCTTCTCTGGACGATGATGTAGATGGACTGAATGATGATGACGAGGTGTGGCAAAAATCATTATGTTACTTTTCCCGTTGTCAAAATAAAACTCTTTCTGTTTGCAGTTTGGAGGACTTTCTGAAGAGACATCCTCATCTTCCGGTGGTTTAATTGGAACTATCTTCAACTTGATCAGTATGGGACAGAAGAAAGCTACCGAAGCCAAGAATGGAGGCACTCCGGATGTGAGTCGACTTTTATTGAAGAAAGTGAGAATCCGCTAGAATGCAGCAGTTCCAGGATAAGAATGCTCTTGGAAAAGCCGTTTCAAGTCTGATCGGTGGAGAGAACAGTCCATTACCAGGCAAGAACATGATCTCGAATGTTTTGTACAAGGCGCTCACGTCCAATAGTTTGCAAGTAAGTTCACCACTTCAAATGTTTTTCTTTTTTTGAATTAATCTAAACATTTGTGAATTTAGTCTAATGACACCGGATCTGACCTTGAGCCTCCTCCGCTTACCAACCTAACCTTAACCCCAGCGCAATCAGCGGCCATCACTGAGAACTTGGAGATGGTCCAAAACTTCATCATCCAGCCATCTTCACCTCTCTGCACACATAAACCTGAACCAGTCGGTTTCGAACTGCAATCGTTCATGGGACAGTGGTACCAGGTAAGACTTCTGGAATTGTTGTCCTTACATTTTTGATCGATTCGCTTCTATGATGACCGCTAAATCGACCTCGCTAAAAGCGCTCTCGACCCGGCCAAGGCTATTCATTGCTTTACATTGCTCGGCCGCAGCCATGTGGTTTTGCGCATTTCATCTACTTGTTCACTGTATTTATCAGAAAAAACATTTCCTGGTTTTTCTTGTTGTTTTTGATTTTTTGGCGCAATTTCTTCCTATTTAGGTCGTCTACAGCCCTCCGTTGTCCTCTGGACAATGTAGCATGGTTGCTTACAAAAAACTGAACGACGTCAATAATGGAGGTGAGAAGTTCTTCTTTTTGCACTTTTACAGAATAAAACGTGGATATTCTAGGCCCAGGATCAATTTTCGAGATCTTCGAGTACACGACTGACGGTACACCTTACGGAAAACCAAAGATCAGCTCTGGTTATGCGATGATCAAATCTCCAGGAGAGCTCATCTACAGGACAACCTCCAACCAGGAAGACGTCAATGGTAAGCTGCACTGAAAACTATGAAAAATTTACGATTTCATCGCAGTTGCTAGGATAGAGTAGGGTGTTTACTAGACTGAACATAGTCCCCTTCCCCTTTCTGTATTTGCTGACACTTTCCTCACTCTCCACCGGTCACTCAAAAGTAATCCGGTCCACTGATGTAGGTCAGATGGGTCAGATGGATTGCGGGAAAACGTGACCATGGGACTAGTCCTCCGGATGTGTGACTCAACATTTTTGCTCGATAGCCGAACAATAATCTATCCCGTTTCAGTGCATGTTTTACACCTGGGACCACTGAATGCTAATGATGAGTACGAATACGTCATTATGTCTACAAATTGCAATTTCCCCTTGTATGTATTCGCAAGAGATCCTAACATGTACAAGCAGGTAAGAATTCGACTATTTTTGGAAACTTATATAACTTATCTCGTTACGTAGATTCTCAAAGTGATTTTCTATATAATCTAACGCGGAAATTCGAATGCAATCGTGAGCGCCCCAATTTATCTCAACCTTGACGGAAGCAAAGATTTTCTCGCTATGTTCTATACTACAAACTTGCCAACTTTGTTAGATGACTACCGATTTTCGTTTATGCTTATTAGAGCAAAAAATCTATCTGGCATAGGTGCTCAGCTAGATGACGGTTGTCTCACAGCGAAATCCTGCGAGCTTTAGGTTACCATCATTTTCAAACTTAGTAAGCTAAGTTGTAGCTTGCTAAAATGGAAATGAGGATACGTAGTGTTCTAACTTATAACGCGCGTGAAAATTGCACAATATAAAATTCAAACAAGAGTCAGAATTTAGTTTTTTGCGTCTTTGCTTTAATCTCGTGTGTCTACGTTTGAAGTTGCCTTGTGTGGGCACCGTGCCAGCAGCGTGCCAGCCCCCACGTGGCGCGCTCTATATTAATCATTGACGGCTCTGGCACGGCGCCAGCACGACGCTGTCACAGGCAACTTGAGTGCAACGTATGTTATGACTATTGTAATATTTCACATTCAGATAATTTTCTAACATTTTTCAATCTTCCTAGTAATATCTTGAAACCAAAGTATCAAAGTCTGTGCAAATTTCAATTCATAAACAACTCATTTTCAGCGATACGAAAGCGAGGTGAATGCAGTGCTCGAAAAGAAGGGACTTGTCAACGGGATCTCACGTCTTCTGAACATAGTCGCACCGGTCGAAAACTCTTTGTGCACGTTCCCACCCTCCCTCTTCAACATTCAAGGATGATCAGACATTCATTGATTTCTAAACTCTACTGGTCCTCTCTGAATCAGTCATCTACAACTCTTTCAATACCCATTTTGTGGGTTATTTGTTTGTCTTTCTTCGTTGATCACTGTCATTTAATAACACTCCCTTCGAAACGTGTTGTCATATCTCTTGATTTATTTTAGTGTTGTTCGAGTTCTGATTGATCCCCACATTTGATACTGTGTACTTCGGCCGAGGTTGCGTGCATTATTTTGTACATAGTGTGTTTCTTAATGCATGGTTTTAGTGCATTGCCTCGTAATAATTTTCGTCATCGCATGAATGACTAAAGAGTATTGCTTGTTTGTTAAATTTTTAATAATAACTTCATGATGATAATAAATGTCACAAACACCATTTCTTGTTGTTTTCTTGGCTCGAGTATGACGTAGCTGTTGTGAGAAATACTGTGGTAGAGCGCTTCGAAGAAATAGGTGATTATGGTTCCTGGATGTCAGGCAACTGAACACAAACAAAAAAGGGGGTCCATAAACGTTGAGCCTTTCTTATGTAGAACTATCATTCAGTTATTCGATTACAAGACTACAGAAGTTTTTTCCAAATGGATCTAAGACCAAACGTAGAACGGCAAATCTTCGGCTCTAACCACCTTGATATTTCAATCTTAATGACGTAAAAGATTCAAAAGTGAAGGTGAGAAAGTTTGAAGGTTCTTGCATAATCTGTGCCAGAAGAGTAAGGCCAACTATCCCCCATGAAACATTTTCAATCACTTGTTATATATAGAGAACAAAGTCCAAGTTCAGGGTTTCAGTTTCCCCACCAAAGGGGATTCCTCAACGTTATGGTGGATTTTTCACACAACCGGATATTTTTCCGTAGTCAAGATTATAACAGCTCAATTCGGGGTGTTGAGCAATTTTCTACAATATCAGCCTTCATTTAGAGAGTTTCATGAATACTGAACAAAAAATTGTTCTTGGAGGAGGCAACTTTTTGACGCTATAAAAGTTTAAATTTTTGTCTTACCTTTCCTTGAAATCATCTGCAGGCCAGCTAGGCTCATTCGGGTTTTCAAATCAACTCCAGACATGATTCATTACTGTGAATCAACGAGTGTTTTATGCATATTTAGCTTTTGAATCCAGCCTTTGACATTGGCGAACCACTTGGAGCTAAACGACAGCATTGTTGGACTTGAATGAGTCATGAAGAAGTGAACGTTTTGCATATAGGCGCTGCCAAATTTGCGGATCTCGAAAAAATTGATAGCTGAGTCATCAATCAAACTATTAATCATCAAACTCTGAAGGACTAGATTGTAGGCATCATGAACAAGAGCTGTTTCTCATTTTCACCAGAAGGATATATTCACCCTTTTCAAAAAGGTAAAGAAAAGCGATAGGGGATTTCAGGGCAGTCAACATAGTAAAAAAAGCATTTCATCACATGTTGCTTTCAATAAAATTTCATTCTTAAGAGCAAAGTTTCCCCCTCTCCTCCCCTTCTTCTTAGATTTCCTTTGATAAGGATAAAGTAGCAATGATAACTTGTTGGGATCAATGTCCGTGGCACTGCGGAACACCAAATTTTATACTATGTACCAATATAGCTCAAGAATCGATGTCCATCTGTACAAAATTATATTGAGGTGACAGCTTCAAAATTTCTTGCGAAAACTAGAATTTTATAATCGGTTTACCTTCGCCCTTCTCTCTTCGTAAGAGCGCTGCCGAAACTCTAACATTCTTAATGAACTTTTTCTTAGAGGATTTCTGCCTCCACCCATCCTTTCTGCCTCGACCCATCCTGCTCTAAGATGATGTAATGTAAAAATCTAAAAATTTATCAAGAATCAGTATAAAATATAATGGACGTTGTAGTTATCTGCCATAACTATACAGTGAAAAAAATCTCTAAAAATAAAAGCTCCTAAAAATAAAACGGTAGATTTTTGCTTGCTCATGTGCTTATTATCCTTTGACCTTATTTTAAAACAAATTATACGTTGCAAAGAAAGTTTTTCTATGAATCAAGGGCAGTAATAGATCTTATACAATTAACTCTGATGTGCAGTCTTTTGAAGATATACTAATTCATGGACCCTTCGTCGCAGCACCTAGTCTTTTCCAAAAGAAGTCTGAAAAATGTCCAAACTCTCTTCACTAAACCCTCCTTAGTATGGTTTCAGCTCGTAATACCTAGTGCGTTTTATTTATTTGCTTACGTCGAGAAGCAGCAAGTTGACAGACTTGCATGGGTTGCTTATATTCGTGGAGTTTTCCTGATTCGAACTACATCCTGTTCTCCATGGCTTACAATGGATTTTTACTAAGGTGCGCCCCCTGAGGGCACTAAATAGATAAATAAAAATTACAATTCCAAGACATCATTGTTTCGAGAGCGCCAAAGTGCCGTGTTAGTTCTCAAGATACTTCACCCTACTCAGCGATAATTCAACAATCTCGGCGAATGTCGTCGCCATCATAGCGGCATCGTTCGCATTAGCGGGGTAAAATGAACTACTTGATCGTTTTCAGGTCAACGTATTGATGTTAGGGGGCATGATGCGTGCTGTGTGTGTATGTGCGTATGTTGAATGCTGCGCGAATAGGGAGTGAAACGTTGGAAAATGTAGGCCTCCTCGGACGGTACGGCCCCCGTCGATCCGCACGCTATCGTTTGACACACGCACATCCCAGTCCACGAGCCGCGAGTGTTCATTGCAACGGTGTCCACGATGCGTCGCCTCGTCACGCTCGTCTCCACGCTCTTCATCGTCGTCGTTTCCGTTGTTCAGGCCGTACCCGTCCAAGAAGCGCCATCCTTCCAAAGTTTCTCCAACGATGCCCCTCTTACGAAGCAGGTGCAGTATACCGTATAAATTTGACGATTATAGTGCCCCTACGGTGATGGCAACATTTGCGCGGAAACAAATGCCACGCTCGTGAATGCCGGCAACTTGCTTGCGACTTGCGCGTAAGTTGCCATTGAGCGCACATTGCCATCTCTCACGCGCAGATGTCATCGGCACCGTATTTATTTGTGATCTTTATCGAAGAGTGAAAGTCCCCCCCCCCCAAAGGAGAAAAGTAATCAAACAGATTTATCCAACCCGTTTTGTTTTCTATCCGTATATCACTTCCACATCGTAAACATAGTTTAACCGCACCGAAGTGAAATCGCCCGAAATAGAGCGCGACCAGCGGAAACTGGAACATTGCCTTTTGCTGCGGATATACAAGTTTAAACAAATCCTAGAACCATAACAATACTAAGATTTTCAGAGCGAAATGGCAGCTGTGGATGCCGCAGGGACATCAAAACCTGACTTAGTAAAAGTAGGAGAGGTAGCCGAATCCATACTAAATAGGCTAGGATTTTCCACAAAAGATGAAAAGAACGTGAGACGAGCACCAGTTCCTAGTGCTATGTATCAGGTAACTAAATATTCTAAGGGATGCTGAAGAGAATGATTTACTTACGTTGTTGTAGACGGACGACCTCAATGCAGTCATTGCTGAAGCGAATGCGAATCGCGTTGATCTGCAGGGTATAGCTTCCGGGCAGATTCCTGGACTAGCACCTATTCCAGTACCTGGGTATCCTGGACCGCAGGATGTACCAGAAATTCCTGGAGTAAATACCATACCTGGATTGAGCAACTTCAACTACTTGGTAAATTTTTTGGAGTCTTACAATAAGGAATTGACGCGAAATTTGCTTTAGGTAGGACAACTCTTCCCACAAATGATTCCACCAGCAAATACACTCCTAGGATCCTCAATAAGTAGGATCTTGCCTAAGGACTCGGCAAAGAACTTGGCTAAGGACGTGTTTAGGTAAAAAACACAATCTTTTTGACTATTAAATCCGTGAACAGGTCGCAATTTCAGAGCCGTTCATCCAGCAGCTGAAAATGTTGATGTAGCCAGAATGATGGGTCGTTGGTTTACTGTAATCAACTCTCCACATGTGATTCGTGAAGCTTGCACCGTACTCCACTGTTTGTCTTTTTTTACCGTAATCCTCACAAGAAGTCGATATTGGCTTTTCAGTTGGTGCCCTTACGAACAACACCTATTCTGCATCTTTCACGACGCTGAAATTCTACAGAGAAGGAAATCCTAACGGTTCTCCACGGTAAAAATATTAATGTTTGATTATTCTAAAAAAGGTGTTCAATTTTTAGATTTGCTCTCGGATACGGTTTCAAATCGGGAGAAACTGGACAGTTCGTGCTTCACAGCAGCAACTCACCCGATGCTGAACCATGTTAGTTGCCATATGGAATAGTGAACCTTAAAATGACTGGAAATGTGTGTTACAGTCTGGGTGATCAAGAAAGGACCATTGAATGAGTATAACCAATACGACTATGCGATTATCTCAACGTGGGTGCGATTCCCAGTGTTCGTAATCGCTCGCGATCCGGAGCGATTCCGCAAGGAGCACATGAAGAACGTACTGCAGTTCCTCGAGGATAACAGTAAGTTACCTGTCATGAAGTCTAGAAATCTTGAAGTAAAAGAGATTCTTGCAGATTACATCAATGTCATGACAAAAGCATTCAACATGATCTCTCCGGTTGACTACGAAGCTTGTCAGTACACGCCAACGTTTTCCGGAGCTGGCAAGTGAGAATTCGTCCCCCTCGGGGAACGCGGGTCCCCACATCGCCCCACGTCTCACTTCCCCAATCGGGTCAAGCTTTCATGCAATATCAACACACATTCCATCAAACACCATTGTCATACAATTGTAATAATTACACATGTATAATGGACTGATATGATTATATGAATATTTTGCACGATAGTACATTTTTTGCACTACGAGTATACACGTTTTCCCCGAAATATTAACGAAACAACGAAAAGCAAAGCAGAGATAGAAAGTCTTCAACTGTTTACAGTCCCATTTCACCTAATCATCATCAATGTACCAGTCATACAAGATCCATGATATTTTCGCAATGATATGAAGGAATGGATAAACAGTAATTGTTACAGTGAAAGCAAATTAACCGATAGTGAAATCGAAAGCGTCAAACCATTGTAAATAATCATTACATAATTATACATTTGTTATCCTGCCTTTGCACGCGTTGGGGTGATTGTTGTTTGTAGTTGAAATGTTGATGAATTACTGAGGTCTTTGCTCGATTTATGAGGAGATCAGTGCGAAGGCTTGGACGACGAGCGTTCACGTCAGTGTATCTGAAAAAAAAACAAGTGAGTAAGAATACACAGTACGATAATTTACTGTTAATCACAGCAATTAGATTGAGGGCAAGTGCACCAAATTGGCTGGTATAGTCTGCTCCCAAACGAAGGCCCATGGCAGCGACGCGCACGCGACCGCGAAGCGCGGGCTAATTTTGCCTTGACTATGCACACCACATGCTCGATTGCCCCATTCGCATCCGCTGGCAAAATTTGGTTTATAGAGTGGAAACTGGATGAGAGGCTTTTACTATTGAAATGCTTAAACGACAACCCACTTCATAGTTCAGTCCAGAATTCTACCGTAATCGGAGGTGCTGGGACCTCCCGCAAGAAGTACAGTTTGAGCCGAAGTTTGACCAGATTTTTCGAATACAAGAATGGTTCATATTAACAGCCGCTTGAGCGATTGTTTAGCAGGATTTCCCAATCACTTTGCACTTGAAATTTGGTGGCCTGGGTACTCCTCCTTATATCATTTGTACCGCTATGATTTTCACGAGCTTATTACTGACTGTGCAGGTGTACATTATTTCTCGTTCATTACTCGCTAGTAGCTCGAAGAAACTCAACTTTTTTGATCACGAGTGTTGAGCAGAAGAATGATAGTTTATTAATAGTACACCCACTCAATCATTCATTTCATAGATTGTTATTTATGTAGAAATTTTTTCTGTGCAAATTATCAGCGATTTACATGATAATAGCTGCCTTCCGTCTGATAGCCTAATTTCCTTGCCACCATCGTAATTGCATCTTTACAATAGCAAATTAATTTCCTAGTAGAAAGTTATTTTGTGCTGTTGAATGCTAGTGATTGTTGACATAAATATAACAGACAATTAATAAAAAAGAGGATAGCTTCGAAAATGGAATTGTTGCAAATACTTGAAAGCAATGGTTCACACTGTTATTTATTTTCAAACTTGCTGAAGTTTATGCATGTTAAGCTATCAGAATGTGGAGGAAAGTTGCTCTTTTTAGAATACCGCAGCAGTGCAAACACTGTTGAATACGTAATTGCAAGGGAAAAAAGTGGAGTAAAGGAAGCTCGACAAAATGATTTATAGAGGATTTTATTTTTTCACATACAGTGTTAGAAGGCGAATTCAGAAATTACGCCAAAAAGAGAACGTTGACTTCAAAAATCTCTTGGAATCTCCCATTTACTCATACCTATACTGGCAACAAAATTTTATTTACATTTGCTGTACTTTGTGGTAGGACATTGAGAAAATGGATAAAATACACTAGCATCCACAGGCCTCTAAATCATGAACCTATAGCTAAGTTTCGATTGAACTTTCATACCTGTTTAAAGGTGTCATTGTAAGCACATGCCAAGTCTGGTCCTATATCATCCGTTTTTGCAGTAAACCACCAATTTTTCGTCTTTTTCACAATGAAAGTTGAATTTAGTTGACATTTGAGAAATTTTGACACAATACCGCGTTGGAGCATGAAAAATGATGGACCTGACAAGATGTTCGTAAACTGCTGAGGAAGGATGTTTGCAAGCTCCCGTGAAAACGTGTGGCTAGATAAAAAAATTGTACCAAAAATACCATCTGAAAACGTGTGGCTAAATAAAAAATTGTACCAAAAATACCATTTGAAAACGTGTGGTTAAATAAAAAATTGTACCAAAAATACCATCTGACACTGAAATTCTAGCCTTTTGTAAAACAAGAATATTGTATTCCTCGCTCCTACATCGACGAAAAGATGTCCATTTGTCCATGTGCTATCCATGCCCCGCTCTGGTGGTGATGCTTGATTGCTTCTTTCAGAACTTTTTCATTTTTCTATGACCAAAGTTCAAACCGAAAATTTCCACAGACTTGTGGCCGCGATAATGCCTCTTTTAAGTTGGTTTTCTTGGCATAGTCTCATTAGAAACAAACAGATTCCATGTATTCACTTTTTGAACACATCCCTCCAAGGTCCAAGTGCCTCTTAACTTTTGCTGGTAATCAAGAAGTTTTCAAAGGGCAGTTAATTTGTCCATTGTTCGCAGAATGCAAAGCTTGGGAATGCGAACATTCTCTCCGCCCGACTATGACCTAATAGCTTCGAATTTCGTGAACATCTCTCGAACAGTGATTTCACCACTAACAAAAGCAGGTCATGCGAGTGATTCTTCGAGATTTCGATGATGATAAAGGGGGATTTCCATGAAAACTATAGAATTATGAAGTTTAATACGAGATTAGGATTGATTAGTCATCATAGGCGGAAATTGGAGTAATCTTTGTTTACGCTATTCAGTCTGTTACAGCACCAGGAAATTCATATTATTTGAAACAAATCGAAAATTCTCTGGCGAGATTCGTTTTTGCAAATTCAAGAGGATGTACACATGAATTTTCAAGATTTTCTAGCAGCGAAGAACTGAAAGAGCTGAATGTTCATTGGGACCATTTACAGTCAGTGTTTTCTGATACATAAGCGGTTTCGCTTTTAAACTTATGCACACAGAAGGATTATCATTTATAGAGGCAAATTCCAGATATATGAATCGGTAGACTTGCCGGGAATAGTTTCTCGCTCTGCTGAAAAATGTAAATTATTGACAAAAATGTTTGGTCCCTCGTTTAGATACTTCAAATATTTAGTCTATTTCCAGGCACAAAGATTTATGTTGGAATAGAAGTATGCAGAAAAGAAATACACTCTCCCAGGGACTTCTTTTGCAGAGTTAGAATCTGACCTAACCATGCTTGTCTTCCAATAAAAAACTTTTGACGCTACGATATACCTTTTGTGGATAAAATCCACAGTGTGGAAGTGAAAGGAAAAGGTTTACTTACGTTGTGAGTTGGTCTTCATGCTCTCTCGAAAACCGACTTCGCATACGCCTCAAAATATGCCTTCGTCCAATCTCGGCATCAGCAGATAGCTCAGCTCGTAGCATTTTATGTAGTTCGGGATTCATATGCTTCGGGCATTTATTCATGGTGAATAATTTGGCGAAAGCCTAAAAACATTAGATGTTCAAATAAAAATTCGGCTTCAATGATTCTAAGATTTGTGGGGGAAAATGAGAAGGCTTTCTACATTAATTTGCACCACTACTCCGCCAGCGGCACGCTTCACAACAGCGAGCGCATGGTGCTAACATGTACAGAGACGCAGACATGGTCCTGCCACGACTGCCTTCGCGATGTGGAGGGAACCTCTCCCCAGGCATGTTTCCATTCGAAACACCCTGTATGAATTTACCTTGTCGATATTGAGGTTGTTTGCTGCAGAACACATCACAAGCGCATCGTGCGAGCCTGTAGCCTGCTCAACCTGTTCAGCCGCCTCTTTCTCGGTAATCTAAAAAAGATGCATTTATTATTGTAATAAAAACTGTACTTAGCCTACCTGCCAACGATGTTCAGGAAGATCAGCCTTGTTCAAGACGAACACACAAGGTGTGTCACTACCTCCGGTAGCACCTCGTGACGCTTTGCAGTCGCTTATTTGCTGCCGAATCTGAATTTCATATTTAGTTTTGGTAAGAGTAAAGAACCGACTTTGCTAGACTTACATCAAGCATGTGAGCTACAGAGTCAGCGTTGTCCACAGATGAGACCAACAGAAACATGTCACCTAGAAATGGAACAAGGTCAGCATAGACAATCCCACAATTTGCGAGTTTCCAAATGTGGAGCAGGAATTTGGAAAAAAATTAGCAGTAAGTACCAGGTACATTGCAATTATCTGATGACACAAAAAATTATATTTTTGCCTTGTGGATTCAATCTACTTGTTTGCGAGTATTTACTATTGAGAAAAATTTGTCAAGTTCAAGATCGCTTAAAGAATCTCTCATATTACATACAATTATTTCAGACTTTTTTGAAAGCAGTTTTCTAAAAATTTACCTGAAATATAGCTAAGCTTTCGTGCTGCTGGAAATGGATCATTTCCTGAACAGTCAATTATGTCGAGTTGATAGACCTCACTCTTGATTTTGTATAATTTTCTGGAAAAGGTCTCAATAAGCTCGAAAACAAAAAGCTGTCACGTTAATTCTGTAGATATTCTATTTTGAATAAATTTTTTATTTTGAAGGAAAATCACAGCATTCCATTGCTTACCTGTAAAAATTTTCAATTGTGGGAATGTAGCGATCTTCAAAGTCAGCATCAAGAAATCGGCCAACTAAGGAGGATTTTCCGGTCCTCGCAGCTCCGACTACAACCAATCGAAATGACTGAAATTTGTTGATAATTAAAATTCTGCTAATCAATCGAGAGGATTTCATTTTGTAAATAGTGTGTCTTTTCAGTGAAAATTTATTTACAGCTTATATTTATGTTAAGAAATGCGTCCCATGCCGAGTTCACAAGATGTTTCATTAAGGCTTGGTTTTAGCAGATGAATACAGCACATTTGAAGTTGTACATATATGCGCATTGCACATCATGCGCGGTAATTGACGGCTGTGCTAACAAGTGCCAATTTCCATAAACTTTATTCCTTTTTTGAGTAATAGCAAGGAATTTCAGGTTTTACAACAATCTGCCCAATTGAAATGATTTAAAACTCTGTAGAAAAAGTACGTAGTCGTGGCCGCGGGTGGTGTGTAATGTAACATTTTGCTCCAAATTATGTAGGTCACTGCTGTATCTTGTTATAAAAGTTCTCTTCATATAACCTCAGTGTTTGATCTTGCCTTATAGCGAAATTTATAAATTTCGTAATATACTGGAGAAACTTGGCGCTGATAGCGCCTCGCATGCTCAAGAAAACCACTAGAATTACGCCAAATTGCACTCCTACCAAAAATTTATCAGAAGCACGTGTATAAAATAGATTATCGTGCAATCGTTTCCCTCACTGAAAATGCGAATATCCGAAGTGGTTGTGGCATACATTGAAGGCTATAGAACATTGGATGCAAAATCTGATTTACGGCTGAGTGGATTATGTGCCGACTCATTTGGAAAGGGCAGTTGCTAAGATCTCGAGTAATTTTTACGTAATGGCTATGTCTGGTTAGTTCTTGCGGGAAAACTTCGTTAGCGCTTATGACGTTTGTTTGGTTTTGGGCTAGCGGTTTGAAATATCACGAAAACTATTGTTTTCGGATTTCTGGTGAACACAGGGAATCTTCTTGCTAGGTACAGAATATCGCCTTGAAATGAGTGCATAAATCGGAAGTTGTATGCAGATTTTAAGAAAAACTTTTTTATTTCTCCTAATATTTTTCTTCCATTTTTATGCACAATTCTTGCACCAAAACATAGAAAAAGAATTGTTTATGCTTAAACAGACTGATCACTTCAAATCAGTATGAAACAAATCAAAAAATCAACTGTAGAAAATCGTAACTATTCGCCGAGTCATCATCACTACCAACTTCTCTTAGTTGATCGAAAATAAATTCAAATTTTATTAAACTTTTAGCGATTTTGATGACCAGAAATCGAAAGATCACTTTTTGGTTATTTCTCCTATTCACTTTATATCGTTGCTATATGCCCTCAAGGAAGTTTGACTCGAGCACATTTAAGCGCAAGATTTTCTCTTTCTATTATATATCAAAGCAAAGGATTTCATTGTAGCTGGATGAAGTAACAGAATTCCAAGAATTATGCATCAACCTGACACATAAGATCTCCCCTTTCAAAGAGCGATACGCTTTTAGGAATAATGTGAAATCGTTTTTATAGAGACTTCAATATGTTTGATTAGCATACGATTTCTTCTAAGCATAGCAGTGAAAAGAAAACGGATATATCATTCCAAATTTAATTGCAAAACAAAAAATGATATTGGCACCAGACTCTAGATTATTCGCGTCAGTAGTTAAAAATTAGAAATTTTGAGTTCGTTCCTAGAAATGAAACTGATATCTATGTGCATATGTGCACTGGCTAGTGCAAGCGAACTAGTAGAGCGTGTTGGATTCATATTTAGAACTTCCATTATTAGAATATTCAGCCGTTTTTAAATCAAAGCTGAGGAAGGATTAATGAGTCTAAATAGAGTGCTGCTCTGTGCTACTATCTTTAGAAAGGATGCGACAAAGAATTTATGAGGTAAAATTGAAAAGCTTTAAAGTTCAACTTTTTTAAAAACTTCAATCTCAGCGAACTAAAAAACTTACACCGCTTATTTTGATTTGTGTTTTCAATTCTAAAGCATCAAATGTCGCAAAAATTATTCATCAAAGCACTCCGATACTATGAATATAGAGCAAACTCTCAGCCACACAATATCTCCCAAAGATCTTGTAATAATACCTGGCCTTTCCGCACAATTCATGCTTACACTTATCAAAGAGGTTTTCTCAAAAGGGTAATCCTGTCAGGTGAGATCCATTAGTGGGTAACTTGCAATTTCTCGTCAACCACTAGTCACCTCAGCGATTAATGTACTCTGATCAGGTAAGTTAGTAGGTAATCGCAGGTGTTATCAGCTCCCACCAATGAAATGATTTTTGGTCAGAGAATACGGATATGAAATTATGAAGTTTGGTACCATAAGGTCGAAAATATAACTCACGCGATTTCTCGCGACGCGATTTGGCAATATTCCAATTGGTGATAACTCATCGTAAGGGTTTCTGAATGTACGGAAGATAGGGCATCTTATCAACCTGCGGGTATACGTGCTGTGCCTTTGAGGTCTACCAGTATTGAAACATCTGGCAAATTGCCAAATCGCGTAGCGACTAAAATCGCTATGCCTGGGCTTAAGACATACAGTACGAGAGTGGAGCAGCAAAAAATCTTGGCCCGCTCGCTGATATTTGCAAGACCGCTCATTCGTTTCCGCGGGACCGCTCGCTGATTTTTGTTCCTCTCAAGATAAAAGCAGTTTTCAAAAGTTTGGACCATCCTTTTCCGATTACCCCACCGCACACCTAATCTCACTCCTCCCACTATGAGTAAAAAACCTGATGCTTTTATTTTGCAAGACTTTTTAGTGCATACGAGATGCGTTTGTGTTGCGATCAATCGCAGTCGACCGCGATTCGCACACATGTCGCACTAATTGCAAAGCGCATTTTGTCGCATTTCTTATGAGAGCAAGTGATTTCTGCTTAAATCTGCTTGGCGCATCTTCATACGAGAATCAGTGCACTGCCGGGAGAAGAGCTGACATTTTTACAACAAAAACTCGTGCGCAATTCTGCTCTTTTGATCCTATGCCATACAGCAAAATGTTTCGAGTTTTCAATTAAACCCTTGAGAATTCCCTAATGGTGCCCTTTCCCATATATAACTAGCCTACAAAACCAGTAAAGTTTTTTTTTTGCGAAGGTTCACATTTCTTAGAGAATCGTTAAGAGTGCTTCAACGTTAATGACGCCGGTTTTATGTTCGTTTTGTTTCGAAAATGTTATGAATTCTAGAAGCGCAACATTTTACGGTATGCAAACAATTGTCTTCTGCAAAAACGTAGCTGTGCAAATATCGCAATGTGATCCCAGCTTCTTAGACTACTTTAATTTTTCTAGGTAAAGCCGAGAATCTGAAAGCTCAGACGTAAATCTATTTGCATGTTGATTGACTTGAAGAAATAAAACAGCAATGGACAACAGAAATTGCTGGATTCTGTTCTTAAAACAGTGAATACTGCTCCCATTTTGTGAAAAGGAAGTTCTAAAGGGAGAAAAGTTCGATTTTGATGCTGGTCCTGGCTGCCAACTTAATTGGGCAATGCAAATTGTGTTGACTTGGTAAAATACCAGTCCAGTCAAGAAATACTGAGCATTCTCAGTTTTTCTCTAGACAAATATTCTTTGTAACTCTTTGATATAGGTAACCAAGAGAAATATCTGAGATTCTTACTAATTTTGTTCTTTGAGTGAAAGATTATAAACGCTAACGAGAACGTATTATAAAGCTAATTTGAAAAGTGCAAATTCTTCTAAACAATTATTTTTTCTCCGGCACCGCAGCAATTTACAAACAAACTAAGCAGTTCAATTTTGTTGATAACTTGTAAATCCGATTTTTTTAACAGCAGAAGATGCCAAATGGCGAGTGTGGCCAAGGGCGAAGTGATAGGTAAACTAACCTAGTTCTGTAATTTCTTAATTTATTCCCCAGAGGCATTAAAGGCCAGAAAAATGGCGCACGTGCACTTGCCAGGATAAGACAAAGATCTTTAAGGAAGCCGCGTTTGTTCTCTTCTTTCACGCATGTTATATGATCCTAATCGAAAATTTTCACGTCGTGACTATAAGGTTTCATTCGATCACAGACAGATTATCACTTCTAAGCCCATTGTCGGGGTAAACTGAATTTTGAGAGTTTGTGCTTTTTCTACTGAATCACAAATCCCCAACATGTGGACACTTTGCTGGCAGGGTTGATTGAAAAACGAAGCAAGTCCTGATGATGTGGCTGCGTTTTATGATCAACACTCACTACTAGGAATTTAATTCCGGATGCTGGGGCGCTGAGCACAAACTGATGAACCTCACTAATTGATGTTTGATTAAGAGCAAAGGGTAGATGGCTTGCAAGGGCTAATGACATTTATTCGTAGCGTAAGAAAGAAGTAAATTATGTCGGCTTTAGTTTAGCTTGTTTCGGAGCTTTTTTTGGCTATAGATAAACATCTTTTCAATAAAACTACAAAAAATGGAATTTTGATAAAGTCTTGCGTCAAGGTTTTTTTTTTCAAAGTGTCAGATTACCAAACCTTGCGAATGCTAGATTATTATGCAGAATTTTGAAGCTCGAAAAGCTGCTTTTGTCGAGAATAGGTAGGGGAATTAATTCGGTCAAATAATACGAAATTCAAATTCGAATAGCAAATGCTCTCAGGAAATACTGAAATCTGATCAAAGCCATAATATTTTCGTAAATTTCTAAAACCTCTTTGCAAAAATTGTCTGAACACATCTGAATAAAATAAAAACAATGAGTACATTTACCACAAATTTTTCTGATGGCTGAACACTTCTAATAAAAATAGGAACAATGAATATGTTTTCACCACAGTTTTTCCATCTCCCATGAAACAAGGATCCATTGATGTTACCCCCATGTCTTGCCATGTCTTGCTAATAATAAACAGCATTAAGCGAAGAGACTAGATAATTAGATAGAATCCACTTAGCGAACTTCCTGTCTCATTCCATGGATAAAGTAGAGATCTGTTATTGTCTGTGAGTTCATAAGGATAGTTATATCACTTAAAAATGCTATCTATGGGAAGCATTGAGGTGCATGATGTTCCCTTCCGAGAGCTCTGCACCTCATTAAGATGTCGCGCTTCATGATGCTCTCAATGTCATGAAAAGAATGAGTAATGAAGGTATTATGTGTGTGTGAGATGCTAGTAAGAGACATGTTATCAACGTAATGACTGCGTTTTGCGAATCAATAAGAAAAAAAGTGAAAAAAGAGGATTCGAGAGATTGAAACGACAGGAGAGAAAGTAAGAGAATAAGTAAAAAATACCTTTTTCACAGCCGGTGAGCTGGGGCAACTCATTCCACCCTCGATGGGCTCCTGAGCCTTCGAAGGTAAACGACACACCCGAGAGCCACCCATTGCACGACGTTGAAGCACACTCATCTCTAAACAGCGGAAGTTAGTCCAGACTTCGGCTTTTGCTGGAAGAAAACGGCTCGTCACGGCTGCGATATCCACAAATTCAATGCGATCCTTGAAAAAACTCGTCCAAACGCATTTAGCATGACATATAGAGTTTCTAAGATTTTTTATTCTAAACCACGTAGGTCTTTCGCAAAGAGGCGTGGAATGTGTTTGTGGATAGTGGTGTGTGTGAAAAAGAGCAGAAGCGCCTTTTTCGTGAGAGATGAGACGGAAGATCGCGTCACAGACACTCCCCCCCCCCCTCTCCCTTCCCCCCGCCCAACCACGGCACCAACGGCTTCCAGACAGCAATTTGTGGCTTTATCCTTGACTTGGATATCCCCTATATGTCCACACTCAGACTTACGCGCATGAACGATAGTGCTTGTTACATTACACACGCAAGGAAACGGTTAACTCGAACAACATGGATGTCCATGACAGCTCTTTTCAAACATTGCCCTTCGCTTGTCATTCTCCCATGCTGCTATGGGTATTTTCATGGATTTATCTGCTAGAGAGTATTGGCCTTTTCGTGGAGCACTTTTGTGTCCTTTGAGATGTGGTATGGATGTACCGGTAAGAATAGAGTTTAGCGTATAAGAAAAATATTGAGATTAACATGAGAGAATACGAGGTATCTTCAAATCTAATATATAAAGAATCGTAAGGTGCATTCAAAAATCATCAGATTTAAAAAACATCAGAAAGCGGGAACCGCAATGTGGTCCCGAAGCGCGCGGATGTAAATCTGCACCTTTAGGATTATTGGTTTACTAGTCTATTCTAATCTATTATATAAAAAATCATAAGGTGCATTGAAAAATCATCAGATAGCGGGAAACTAAGCAGGTCCCGAGGCGAGCGCGTCTGATTCGCACCTTTGAGATTACTGGTTCACTAGTAGTCGTCAAAAAAACTGCTGTATTGTTCTCGTAAAATTCGAGGAAAAAAGAAAAAAATTCTGCGGCAAAGGCACAAGAGCAGGATTCCAAAAGTAAGTATATAAGACAAAGGCATAAGGAACCAATGCGCCTTCGCTCTGCTTCTCAGCGCAAAATTACTACCTTCGTAGCTGGCTCGACTCGCAAGAACTATACTTACCCTTTGACAAGTGGCGAACACAAACATTAGGAATTTTCCTTCATATTGCAGGCTTTTCTGCGATAAATTGAACGGTTGATATTTCTAAGCAGCATTTAGAAAATATCGACTACTAATTTATGGAGCAAATCGAGAATATTGTACTTTGTAGTTTATTGGTGGGTCATACGTGTCCTGACATTTTGGACAATACGACCCACCAGTAGGTCATGCTTCTGAAGTTTTTGATTTCGCTAATTTCCGATGCTTTCTGGGAGAACTCCAGAAGCTTCTTTATACATATCTTGGAATACTTTTTGGAGGAATAACCTCAGACCATAAGACCCATCCAGGCCACAAAATATTACACAAACTCATTGCAAAATATGTTCTATCCGAAATGGCAGTCATCGAAAAATTGGCCTTGTTGAATGTTCAGCAAATAATGGAGACTGTATTTCGAAGTCTACTAATATATTAGGGTAAATGAAAGAATATGGAAGCAACGCAGCCCGCTTGTCAGTTTGGCTGTTAGGTCCCGTATACAAATACAAAATACAGTACCATATGGTCGTCTACCGATTCAAAAGGGTAGCAACGGAACGAAGCGGCATCCGAAAGTGAACGAAAGCTATGTGTTGGCATGCTCTATGTTGGAAAGGTAGGCGTGGTCCCGGCTCGATTCGCAAGCCATCTCAATTATGACAACTATTTAAGTGGCAAGGAGAGAGTAGGATTGTGTAAATCGAAGAAAAACAGAGAAACACAATAATAGAAAAGCTATGAATATAGAGCTCAAATATATGAGGCAATTGCTGCAAAGGAATCGTTTGGTTTGCGATGGTCCTGTAAAGGAGGAAGCTTCATGAAGTGTATTTTTAATGAGCTTACATTTCACTTTTCGAGCACAAATTATGTACACAATTGTCTTGGAAAAGTTATCTGATTATATTGAAGGGCACTACTTACATCAAGCGATGCGCTATTAGCCATTCAACTTCCGATTGAATAGCATAGGCATTTCAAACTATTCCGTTGACTCCTAATCCGAGAATATGCACTTCTGCAAGTTGTTTTGCAGATAGTGTGCAAGGATAGTGGTCAATTCATATTTTCGACGCAAAGTACGAAGTCTTGAACTTATTGACAGGGGGGGGGGGGAAGGAAATATATAACCAAGATTTTATTGCGCACTTTTTGAGAGCACAAGTACTGTGCAGCTGAGGGTCAGGCTTATAGCCCCAGCCGGATTCTCTATGAGTATCCACAAAACCTGAATACAGGGTCTGCAGTCGTGCTCCATAATTGAATAAGACCCTCATGCATGGCATAATTTATTGGAAAGTAATAAAGGGCAGCTTAATTTGAGAAAAAAGCTGTCTACATATGGCTCACCTCAGAGATTCCAGGAATTCCTCGCAAGTCTGAGCATATGAGCTTACCCCCCCCCCCCCCAGCCACCTCTATAAAACCAAACAAAACAGCGAAAATAATTTCATTCGCGACGCAATGCAAAAGTTATTTTGAAGTGACTTGTTGTTCATAGATCCACCTCATCGTGCTGCAACGAAATTAGGATCTCGTCAATGTATGAAGCTGCCGAGGGGTGAATGAAAATGGATCCGAGGGAAAACAAAGCACGGATTAGACAGAGTAACATTCGGAAGTACGTTCGCTTTCTGGCTGATGACCTCGAGCCTTGTTTCCTTTCGGCTCTGAGACAAACAAAGGATAAGGGACAAAAATGGAGTTTTCAAGCTAGAACGTTCTTTACATCTTTTGTCTTGCCTTGTGCAATACAATGGCTGCAAAAGTTGCTTTTAGATCAAAGTCCACAGCAAACATAAAAGTCGCTTTCATTTTTCTTTAAATATGGGATAATATCAATATGAGACGATACTGGCCTTAAGAAAAGCTGCGCTGATCTTTGAACCAAACTTGCATTGCAAAGCTTCAAATAAGCTAAGCCCTAGCTTCTCTGAAAAGAGCGAACTTTCAGAGCCTTGTGAAGCGGAAAAACTAACGAGGTGTAAGATGCAAAGGTAAGAGGCATATTCTTCGTCGTATGTAGCAATAACAAGCTCCAGTGGGACACTTTTCTTCTAGCAGGGCCTTGTTTTCACGGTACTTGTATAAGCTTGAGTTTGATGAGAGAATAAAGATGAAATCGTTTTTATCTTATGAATTAAGTTGTAAGAATTTTGTTTGGGGTAGGCGATCAAAGAAACTCTAGCATCGTTATCTAGAAATTGCCAAGGAGAGTCAAGATGAGGCGAAATTCAAGAGGCTTCAATTTTGGTGCCAATGAGATTTGCTCGTTTTATTTCTTACAATATGCGTTTAGCAATCCTCAGCAGTCCAATACATAAACAACAAACAAAATTTCAAGACCGCGAGATTATTTTTTTGCAAGGAGAGAATGTGTTAATTCGGCGAAGAATCAGGAAAGAAAATCCACAAGAAAATAAGAAGAAAAACATATATTTTGAGCAAGAGTCTATCCAGGGCATTGCCATTTTTGTCGAGCAATAACTCACTTAACAACAACCATATTAGAGTTGCCTTACCAAAAAAAAAGAGTGTAGATAACATGCTCAGCATGTGCAGTCTAAGATAATTGAACCTATATTTAAGCAAAGACCAGGGTGCTCTTCACTAGCTCGCTAGCTTCAAGGAAGCAAATTTAAGAAGTAAATAAAAGTCTGGGAACTAACTTGACACATTAGTCTCGTGAGTTCCGCATATCTAAAAACTTGAAAGGATGATCGCAAACAAGTTTTTTGAGGGAGGGGGGGGGGGGGGAGGGTTACGAGGATAAAACACCTCGTATAACTATGTGCTTCACCATCCCCCTTCCCCCCCCCCCCCCCCCAAATTCCTCAAATTTCACGCCTCTGGCATTCTTATTAGTTTCAACAATGTACGAAATATGTTAGCCGTAATGTTTGTTTTCAGATGAAAAATCTTTAACCAAGATTCTACTTTGATTCATTTTTGCATATTTATAGCGAGTACTGGTGACTTAGTCCAACATTAGATATTCCCAGGGAAAACAGTTTGTGAAACTGTGCACATTGATATAAGCACTTGTTGAGATCTGGGAGAATTTTCAAGAGTATGATCGAGATAGCAACGGTCTTACTGTCTATTTCATTTGTTTATATAGTGAGCGCTGACTCAGAGTTGAGCCTAAAGTTGTCTAATAGTTTCGAATATTATGATTTCGTTCCTTAATTCTTATTAATTTACTCAAAGTATAACTTCAGGACCTGGTAATGACAAATATGCATTCACTTCAAATGACTACTTAACACTGAACGACCGGCGAGTGGAACTGTGTTGAGGGGGAAAATGATTGTAGGAGCTGAGAGAAAGCGATTGAAGCAAATTATGAGTCAATACGAGATTTCAGTTTGTTCCAAAACTTGATTTCATGTTTCAAATGTCCTCTATCGTTTTCGCAAATTTATCGTTGAAAGACACGTCTGACACTGCTTTTCAGTTTGCTTGAAACTTCATGAAATCGTTTGTAGGGAATGTTTCCGAAAAAAGTAACAATGACTGGCTCTTGGCTCAGAAGCCCTGTGCATGAATAATAATGCATATTTGCAAGCAAACAACTGATATAAGACATCCGACACGCATGTTGTATGTACTATTAATTAAAGTTTAGCATTTATTATCACCGTCTCCTTTTGAGAAAGAATGTGTAGTATTGTTACGGTTAGAGGGGCAATTTCTTTTCGTTATAGGGCATATACGAAAAAAAAGCCAATCGTATTTTATAACAATGTGTCCGGACATGTGCTACATGGAAAAGCGACAGCTGCTTTAAATGTTTGACAGCTTTCTGCTCATCAAAAAATTGGTACATCGAAATTGGTATATCTACATAT